AAATTTGCATTGTGTAAGTTATTGATTGTCTCCATCCACTAGAGGCTGGGCTCCTAGGAGGCAAGGCCTGGGTCCATAACGTGCGTAATTACTCAGTAAACACCAAGTGATGATTAAATCGGTGGAAGGGCAGCACTCTAGCCTAAAGAGAGCACTGGACCTCTCTAGCTGAGGTCCCAGGAAAGGGACCCAGTAAGGCCAGAAGAGAAGCATATTTCGCAGGGTGTCTCCCCAGCTCACTCTCCATCTTCCCTCTTTCCTAAAACAAAAGGAAGCAGCCCCACGCCAGCCAGTACCGTTTGCCTCCAAAGCTGGGCCTCTCTTCATCTGAATCTCGCTCTGCCCACACTCCATAGGTGGCCTCTTCCTTGGTCTGCCAGTGGCGCTGCCGGTTGGGGTTGAATTCATTCTGGAGATCCCAGTCGGTGATCTCAAAGTTCTCCCGTTCGTCATCGTCATCATCCATGTGGCCTTCCCCGCCCCTGTACAAGTGGGACAGTGACATGGCCAATCACTAAAGGAGGGATAAAAAGGGCACAGTCTGCGGTAAGTCCTGAGAGCAGCAGAAAGCTTCCCTGGGAGTCCATACTTCCCGCTGCCTTCAGAGCTTCCTCCAAATCAAAGTCCGTTAAAATCACTGTTCAATAAAGCAGACATTAAAAATATATTTTTTAGAAATCAATCAGTACTAAAACAAAAGACTAGTCCCAACAGTCTGTGATTCTTATGTATTTCCTTGTCCTAGTCAATGTCACAAAACATCACACACACACATATATATACAAAAAACCACATAAAATAGGTATGTTAACATATACCCTGTTGCCTCAGAAATTGGGTGGCCATCTTCCTGGGCTCCGGAGTTTTATTTCATTTAGTGTTGAGGAAAGAGTTATATCTGGACCCTTGGTAGTCCTGGAAAAGTTGTTTCTTTTTAAATTATACTTTCTGAACTACTTGATGAAAATCTAAGACCTAGTCTTCCTCCCAAAACATGAGCCTCTTCTGATAAGCTGGAAGACAGTAGTAATCAGGGAACACTACCTTAACAGGCATCTGTGGACTGCAATAGAGAATTCAACTCGCGGTAGCTGGGTGACGAGATTCAACAGTTTCTTAAATGGATTAACTACAGTACCAACCTTAGAGAATGCCTGTTAGGCAGACTGAAGAGATGATGTTTATGCCCTAAGAACGCTTAGAGTAAGTGCTCAAGGAACACTAGCTGCTACTGTAATCCCATGATTAGGTTCATCATTACTATTGCTGGATTAGAGAATGAATCTAGCAAAGTGTGTGAAATCAGGCACTAAAATCACAGGCTGAGTTCAAATCCCAACTCTACCAGGTACTCAGTGTGTAAGTATTAAATACACACGAAGTGCCAAACATGACTGATGCACTACACTGTAATACACTAAACCTGTGACAGCAATTGTAACTCTTACCTTACCGGTTGCTGCGAGCAGCCTTCAGGGACAGGGGTTCACTACTTGCACAGTCCACTACTGCCACTACTTCTGGTAGGTTTCGGAAAGCTCCCCCTGCTTATTTTACTCACTGGCGCGCTGGCTGGGTGCTGACGGTCCCAACCTCATCCAGGGATGCAAAGGAGGGAAATGTTCTCAGTGGAGTGCGGAGTCCCAGATACGTGGGAGTCAATAATATCGCTGCCTCCTTGGGCATAGAGCATGGTAATAATCACGACTGTCACGAGTGGCTGAGTACCCGCTGGACGCTTCAGGGCGATAATCTAATGTAAACATCAAAACGCTTCTACCAAGTAGGTACTGTTACTGTTTTCATGCTTCAGATAAGAAAAATGAAGCTCCGAGACGTTAAACAAGCTGCCTGAGGTTCTGCTGGCAGGGCTCGAAAGCAAAGGGCATGAAGCCACAATCCAGGTTTCGCGCTGGAGGCTCGGTCCGTAAACCCGCCAGGCCGAGGACCGCCTCCCCGATCCCTCGCACCCCCTCCCTCTGGAACGGACTCACCCTTGTCCGCATCCCACTCCCCCAGCCCCGCTTACCTCTCCCGGGTCGCCGGTACCGAAGACAGAGCCTCACTCAATGCGGGAAACGAGCGGCTGTGGAGGCCGGAACCCGGATGTGTCGCGACCTGCGCGCCGGAAATGACGTTTACCGATAGCGGAAGTGTGTTGATTGCCAAAGCAGCCACGGCTTTGGCTGGAGCTGCTAGAGCGGCTTTGGCTCTAGGAGGGCGGAGCTGGAATACTAGAAAAGTGAAGCCGGTTTAATGGGTACCGGAGGTGATTTCCGGGCCAGAGCGGCCTGTATGCTGCGCAAGCCAGCCTGCAATGCCTGGAGTGGGTGTCACCGAGCTGCTTTGACCTAAGGAGAATTGTCAGCCAGAGACACTAAATCTGTAAAATGGGGATATACGTAGGACTAGCTCATAGTATAGTTGTGAGGAGTGGTGTGAGACAAGTAGCCGGGCCAGGACAGGTATTCATTCAGATGGCAATAATGAAGGTCAGAACTGTCTCCTGTATCATTGGGGTCCTTCAGTATAATGACGACGTGGGCACAGAGCAGCTGTCTTAGACAGGAGTTTGAGGGCGTGAAGGAATGAATGGACAACTCAACAGTTCCCAAGTATTCCCTCCAGGAAATCCTTCCATTCTCTTCCTTTCTAACAGGTTGGTAAACAAAGTCATTCATTCACTGATCTAATAAAATTGTACTATGTGCCTACTGTGCTAGGCTTAAGAGTTAAAAATGAACAGAACAGGCTCCGGCCTGCCGGGAATCCCTCAGGGGCTGTGTATAGGCACACAAGCTCTTGACTTCCAGTCTCAGCTCCACCTCTTACCAGCTGTAGGCCTTGGGCAAGTCGTTGTATCTCCCTAAGCATGTGTTCTTGCTTCTACAGAATGCCTGAGGACCCAAAGAGAGAAAATACATAAGCAGTTACAACTGTACCTGGTAAACTAGGTGCTTAGGAAGTGTTAGCTGTTAACTTTTGCTTATGATGAAAGGATCCAAGAGACAATTGTTAAGAGTATACAGAGATGAGTTAAATAGTGCTTAACATGGGCTTTCTCAAAAGCTGGGCAATGGCCCCCAGCTCTGATCCACTGTCTTATTCTATTGACATTCAAATCATGTTATATAACAAAATTTCTTATAAAAAGAGCACTGGACTTGTGGAGTCAAATGACGTGGGTCTATGGTTGTTAGTAAGTAAAGGATAACCTACATGAACCCAATTAAATCCCAGATTCTTTGGAATGGGGACTGTGATTTAATGGCCTCTGTATGCTCAGTGACATTCAGTGTCACTCTGCCACATGCATAGTATGTACTCAGGAAAGAAACTAAAAAGAGGTTTTAGCAGAGGAGAAGGGCAGGTGGAGAGCTTCTAAGACAAAAAGATGACTCGTGCCACAAGGGTCGTGTCTGAGGCTACACAGCGAGTTAAAGGACAGAGCCAGCCCTGGAACCAAGGAGTTTGGACCCCTAGGCCAGTGCCTTCTCTACTCTGCCATGCATGGAGCACCCATACATGTTTGTCAACTTATTTGAACTAATATTTGGAGTGATTCCTGTCTGTTCAAGGTCACAAAGGCAAACCCTCTGCATATATTATCTCTTAGACTCTCAACCTTTTGAGATAATTTCTATTTTCACCTGAGTCCACACTCCTAATCACCCTCTATGCAGCCTGTGCCATACAGAAGTTTCCATAGTGCCTGCAAAGAGTTAGGGAAAAATCCTTGCTCCATTTCAACTTTAAATAGGTTGGTACCATAGAAACAATCCGTAAGTGGCATTTCAAAGCTGATATATTTAAAGTCTAGCAAAAGTACCTTTTCTAGGACAGCAACATTATACAGTTGCACATGGCTTATTCTTATTTTAAATCTTGTCACAAAAATATATATCATGTCCTGAACTTGGCAGAATTGAAAATCCAGAGCAGCTGAGATTAGCAAATTTGGTTTCCCTATAAATGTTTCTAGCAGATGGTTTCTACCCTGCTAATCTTTCAAGAATTTGTGAGCGCTCTATCCTCATACAGAAAGCTGGGACAGGAGGTTCCCCAGGTCTGAGGCATTATCTGTAAAGCAAATGTCCTCACAAGTCCACAGGTGAAATGAGGAACTGCAGGGTGTATCATTCATTCATTCATGCACTGAGTCGCTCATTAACAAATATTTAATGTGTTCTTGGGTATTTTCTATTGCAAATATGTTACCTCCCAACGTAGTGGTTTAAAACAAAAATGAACATGGTCTCACACAATTTCTTCAGGTAGAAACCCAAGAGTGGCTTAGATGGTTGGTTCTGACTGGAGATGCCACTGGGGGTTGCAGTCAAGATGTCAGCTGGGACTGCAGGCTTGCTTAGAACTGGATGAGCCAGCTTCCTGGTTGACTCACTCTCATGGCTGGCAGCCTGGGGCTGGTTGTTGGCAGGTCTCAGTTCCTTGCCATGAGGACCTCTACAGAGGGCTGCTGAGTGTCCTCATGACAGTGACCAGCCTCCCCCAGCATGAGTGAGCCAAGTGAGACCAAAGCCAAAACCAACAGCTGCTGTGGTCAAGTCTGAGAAGTCACACACTCATTTCCCTAGTATCTTTTTTGGTTGCATGGCCAGTCCTATTTAGGGTTGCCTTGGCAAATAAAAATAGGGGGTGCCCAGTTAAATTTGGATTCCAGGTAAACAATGAGTATCGAGTATAGTATTAGTATCTACACATATGTCCTATGAAATACTCTATAATGCTAAAAAACCATTGACCATTTTATCTGAAATTCCAGTTTAACCATCTATCTTGTGTTAATCTGAAACCCTAGCTATTTAGGGTGGAAAGGGACGGCACACAGAAGGGGTGTGAACACCAGGAGGCAGGACCATCCAGGCCACCTGGGGAGCTGCCTGCCCACAGCCCATGATCTTGCCAGGCCTGATGGGGGATAAATGGAGAGCGATTAAAAATAGTGCTTCCTGCACTCACCTAGCTNGGCCAAAGAAGAAGTCCCTCTTCAGCCTGTCTTCAGCCTGCCACAGCCTGTTTTAGTCCCTAATCCTTTTTCTCCTGCTGAAACAAGTATTTGATCTGAGTTTGATAAAGCAATGTAGTTGGGAGCACAACGGTCCGCTGCTGGCAGACCAGGCTGTGGAGTTATTTTTACAAGAGAGAAAGCAAGCCGCTCCCCAAACTTGTTCTTTGCTCAGCCCTGTGTCCCTCCTGCAAGACTACAGAGCAGTGGTGCCACACCTTGCGCGTTCTTCCCGAGGCCCCTGCCAGGGACGTAGCCCATCTTCTGAAGAAGCTTCTGTCCAATTCCTTTTGTGTGTCTTTCCCAACTACCAAAATCCATGAAAGACTTGGTTCCTCCTGCAAAGCCTTTCTGGCTGGGCTTAAAATTGCCACCCTGAGAAGAAGGAAAATCAAAGTTTAGTTGATGGGAAAAGAAAAGGAAGCAAACACCTAAGAGAGTAGGTTTTCCTATCTGGCTGATAGGAAAATGGCCTGGCAGCCACAGAGCATTAAGAAAAGTGTCATATAAACTGAAAATGTATCTGTGCTGTATCTTAGGAAAGAAAAGAGACTGCATTGCACACTTGTGCCACCACAGGAGAAACCCACACAACCTGCCTCCAGCTCAGCCCCAGGAGATGCTTGGGCCCCAAGGACCTTGCAAGGATATCACTAAGGTCACAGTCCTGGAGTAAAGGTGCTACCGTTTTCAACTTCTTGGGTCCGAAATCCTTAGGAAAGTCATCCTGCTTAACAGGTTTCTCTTCATCATCGGAGTCTTCCAGCTCTGCTTCCTCTGCTGCCCCTTTCTTGAGGCCCGCACTGATGAAGTTCACCGGGGCGGAGTAGTCTCGGGCCCTGCAAGCAGACACAGCGCCGCACGGATTCCGTGAAGAACCCTCCGGAAGCTGCCCCTCACAGGAGCTCTGCCGCCCAGGCCAACTTTTAGGCATCCATTTTAAAAGAGCAACATATATACTTATGTCACAAGGGCCCCAGATCTAGCTCTCTGTAATCACATTTAACATTTTACCTGATGTGTTCAAGTCAACTCTAGGCCAGAGAGTTATCAATATCAATGCCGAGCTGATTACAAAATCAAAGTATGATCCAACTTTCCTTTTACATTTTTAAAAATTAATGTACTTTAAAAAGCATTTGTCTCATCCATACATTTTCAAGTACAAAAATCAAATTCTGATAAATAAAAATCATCAAATACATTAGTAGATTGTATTAATGGAAAGCATATTAACAGTGACATCAATCAAACTTCATGTCCATTAAAATTATTTGAATATGAAAACTAAACAAAAATACGCAGTTAACTCTGTGAGATTAAAAGTATTGACTTTAACCCTGATTGGCTCAGGAACAGCACTTACAGTAAGTCATTAACCATGGGTCCTTCGTGTGTAAATTGAAGCTGATACCTTTGTATTGTGTGGTTAAAGGAACACAGAGAAAACAGTGAATGAAAAACCTTGGGAAAACTGCAGAAGAAAGAGAAATGCTGCATAAAATGACTAACCTAGTCATTAAACATCCCATGGCAGCACTAAAATTCAGATTTAAGCTTTTCTTAAAGATTTAATAAAATTCTGTAGTTAGGAGCCCAAACACTAGAGTCAGTTGGGCCCAGATCCTCACAGGATAGCTGTGTGACTTTTGGCTGTAGTTTTTTAATCTGTAAAACAGGATGATAATAATGGTTCCTTTCTCATAAGGTCAATGAAACCAGGCATGAAAAGAACCCAGAACAAGTATGTTGGTTGCTGTTATTATCTTATGATTATGCAATTCTTGACCTGTGATTTACTTATCATCCACAGTTAGATGTCCTTCCCAGATGAGAAGGCGTTGAACTAGTCTCTCCAGTCTTTCTCCCTAACCTCCTTTTTGAAAAACGCACAATCTCAATGGGCTGGAGCCTACAGGCCATAGGCGGGACAGGGAGACAAACCCAAGCCTGCTGCACCCTCAGCCATGGCACAAGACTTCACACTGAAGAGCAGACTTTCCGCCTGAATCCCCATCTCCCTGCCGCTACCTTAGCCGGGGCCTCCAGCACCTCTGCAGGACCAATGCCTCAACCTCCTCACAGAGCTTCCTCTCCGCCCCCTCCGTGGCTCCGCACTAGCTCTGCACATTACAGGACTCTTCTCCAGACATAATCCCACCCCATGGCACACCCTCTCTACCACAGTCCCACGGGCCTCTTCTCAAACCATGCTCCCTCACTCCAGTCCAGCCCACAAAACCTTTCCTACCCTCCTGGAAACCCTGCTGCTTCCCACCAAGGGTCTCTGCATGCCTACAACTCTCATACCACCTTAGGTGCCTTCATAGAAGCTCAAGGGTTGCTCCTTCAGAGAAATCTTTTCTGACCTCCCAGAACAGGCCAAACACCCTAAACTGTACTCTCTTTAGGTCCTAAACCACCATTACAAATTTGCATTGTGTAAGTTATTGATTGTCTCCATCCACTAGAGGCTGGGCTCCTAGGAGGCAAGGCCTGGGTCCATAACGTGCGTAATTACTCAGTAAACACCAAGTGATGATTAAATCGGTGGAAGGGCAGCACTCTAGCCTAAAGAGAGCACTGGACCTCTCTAGCTGAGGTCCCAGGAAAGGGACCCAGTAAGGCCAGAAGAGAAGCATATTTCGCAGGGTGTCTCCCCAGCTCACTCTCCATCTTCCCTCTTTCCTAAAACAAAAGGAAGCAGCCCCACGCCAGCCAGTACCGTTTGCCTCCAAAGCTGGGCCTCTCTTCATCTGAATCTCGCTCTGCCCACACTCCATAGGTGGCCTCTTCCTTGGTCTGCCAGTGGCGCTGCCGGTTGGGGTTGAATTCATTCTGGAGATCCCAGTCGGTGATCTCAAAGTTCTCCCGTTCGTCATCGTCATCATCCATGTGGCCTTCCCCGCCCCTGTACAAGTGGGACAGTGACATGGCCAATCACTAAAGGAGGGATAAAAAGGGCACAGTCTGCGGTAAGTCCTGAGAGCAGCAGAAAGCTTCCCTGGGAGTCCATACTTCCCGCTGCCTTCAGAGCTTCCTCCAAATCAAAGTCCGTTAAAATCACTGTTCAATAAAGCAGACATTAAAAATATATTTTTTAGAAATCAATCAGTACTAAAACAAAAGACTAGTCCCAACAGTCTGTGATTCTTATGTATTTCCTTGTCCTAGTCAATGTCACAAAACATCACACACACACATATATATACAAAAAACCACATAAAATAGGTATGTTAACATATACCCTGTTGCCTCAGAAATTGGGTGGCCATCTTCCTGGGCTCCGGAGTTTTATTTCATTTAGTGTTGAGGAAAGAGTTATATCTGGACCCTTGGTAGTCCTGGAAAAGTTGTTTCTTTTTAAATTATACTTTCTGAACTACTTGATGAAAATCTAAGACCTAGTCTTCCTCCCAAAACATGAGCCTCTTCTGATAAGCTGGAAGACAGTAGTAATCAGGGAACACTACCTTAACAGGCATCTGTGGACTGCAATAGAGAATTCAACTCGCGGTAGCTGGGTGACGAGATTCAACAGTTTCTTAAATGGATTAACTACAGTACCAACCTTAGAGAATGCCTGTTAGGCAGACTGAAGAGATGATGTTTATGCCCTAAGAACGCTTAGAGTAAGTGCTCAAGGAACACTAGCTGCTACTGTAATCCCATGATTAGGTTCATCATTACTATTGCTGGATTAGAGAATGAATCTAGCAAAGTGTGTGAAATCAGGCACTAAAATCACAGGCTGAGTTCAAATCCCAACTCTACCAGGTACTCAGTGTGTAAGTATTAAATACACACGAAGTGCCAAACATGACTGATGCACTACACTGTAATACACTAAACCTGTGACAGCAATTGTAACTCTTACCTTACCGGTTGCTGCGAGCAGCCTTCAGGGACAGGGGTTCACTACTTGCACAGTCCACTACTGCCACTACTTCTGGTAGGTTTCGGAAAGCTCCCCCTGCTTATTTTACTCACTGGCGCGCTGGCTGGGTGCTGACGGTCCCAACCTCATCCAGGGATGCAAAGGAGGGAAATGTTCTCAGTGGAGTGCGGAGTCCCAGATACGTGGGAGTCAATAATATCGCTGCCTCCTTGGGCATAGAGCATGGTAATAATCACGACTGTCACGAGTGGCTGAGTACCCGCTGGACGCTTCAGGGCGATAATCTAATGTAAACATCAAAACGCTTCTACCAAGTAGGTACTGTTACTGTTTTCATGCTTCAGATAAGAAAAATGAAGCTCCGAGACGTTAAACAAGCTGCCTGAGGTTCTGCTGGCAGGGCTCGAAAGCAAAGGGCATGAAGCCACAATCCAGGTTTCGCGCTGGAGGCTCGGTCCGTAAACCCGCCAGGCCGAGGACCGCCTCCCCGATCCCTCGCACCCCCTCCCTCTGGAACGGACTCACCCTTGTCCGCATCCCACTCCCCCAGCCCCGCTTACCTCTCCCGGGTCGCCGGTACCGAAGACAGAGCCTCACTCAATGCGGGAAACGAGCGGCTGTGGAGGCCGGAACCCGGATGTGTCGCGACCTGCGCGCCGGAAATGACGTTTACCGATAGCGGAAGTGTGTTGATTGCCAAAGCAGCCACGGCTTTGGCTGGAGCTGCTAGAGCGGCTTTGGCTCTAGGAGGGCGGAGCTGGAATACTAGAAAAGTGAAGCCGGTTTAATGGGTACCGGAGGTGATTTCCGGGCCAGAGCGGCCTGTATGCTGCGCAAGCCAGCCTGCAATGCCTGGAGTGGGTGTCACCGAGCTGCTTTGACCTAAGGAGAATTGTCAGCCAGAGACACTAAATCTGTAAAATGGGGATATACGTAGGACTAGCTCATAGTATAGTTGTGAGGAGTGGTGTGAGACAAGTAGCCGGGCCAGGACAGGTATTCATTCAGATGGCAATAATGAAGGTCAGAACTGTCTCCTGTATCATTGGGGTCCTTCAGTATAATGACGACGTGGGCACAGAGCAGCTGTCTTAGACAGGAGTTTGAGGGCGTGAAGGAATGAATGGACAACTCAACAGTTCCCAAGTATTCCCTCCAGGAAATCCTTCCATTCTCTTCCTTTCTAACAGGTTGGTAAACAAAGTCATTCATTCACTGATCTAATAAAATTGTACTATGTGCCTACTGTGCTAGGCTTAAGAGTTAAAAATGAACAGAACAGGCTCCGGCCTGCCGGGAATCCCTCAGGGGCTGTGTATAGGCACACAAGCTCTTGACTTCCAGTCTCAGCTCCACCTCTTACCAGCTGTAGGCCTTGGGCAAGTCGTTGTATCTCCCTAAGCATGTGTTCTTGCTTCTACAGAATGCCTGAGGACCCAAAGAGAGAAAATACATAAGCAGTTACAACTGTACCTGGTAAACTAGGTGCTTAGGAAGTGTTAGCTGTTAACTTTTGCTTATGATGAAAGGATCCAAGAGACAATTGTTAAGAGTATACAGAGATGAGTTAAATAGTGCTTAACATGGGCTTTCTCAAAAGCTGGGCAATGGCCCCCAGCTCTGATCCACTGTCTTATTCTATTGACATTCAAATCATGTTATATAACAAAATTTCTTATAAAAAGAGCACTGGACTTGTGGAGTCAAATGACGTGGGTCTATGGTTGTTAGTAAGTAAAGGATAACCTACATGAACCCAATTAAATCCCAGATTCTTTGGAATGGGGACTGTGATTTAATGGCCTCTGTATGCTCAGTGACATTCAGTGTCACTCTGCCACATGCATAGTATGTACTCAGGAAAGAAACTAAAAAGAGGTTTTAGCAGAGGAGAAGGGCAGGTGGAGAGCTTCTAAGACAAAAAGATGACTCGTGCCACAAGGGTCGTGTCTGAGGCTACACAGCGAGTTAAAGGACAGAGCCAGCCCTGGAACCAAGGAGTTTGGACCCCTAGGCCAGTGCCTTCTCTACTCTGCCATGCATGGAGCACCCATACATGTTTGTCAACTTATTTGAACTAATATTTGGAGTGATTCCTGTCTGTTCAAGGTCACAAAGGCAAACCCTCTGCATATATTATCTCTTAGACTCTCAACCTTTTGAGATAATTTCTATTTTCACCTGAGTCCACACTCCTAATCACCCTCTATGCAGCCTGTGCCATACAGAAGTTTCCATAGTGCCTGCAAAGAGTTAGGGAAAAATCCTTGCTCCATTTCAACTTTAAATAGGTTGGTACCATAGAAACAATCCGTAAGTGGCATTTCAAAGCTGATATATTTAAAGTCTAGCAAAAGTACCTTTTCTAGGACAGCAACATTATACAGTTGCACATGGCTTATTCTTATTTTAAATCTTGTCACAAAAATATATATCATGTCCTGAACTTGGCAGAATTGAAAATCCAGAGCAGCTGAGATTAGCAAATTTGGTTTCCCTATAAATGTTTCTAGCAGATGGTTTCTACCCTGCTAATCTTTCAAGAATTTGTGAGCGCTCTATCCTCATACAGAAAGCTGGGACAGGAGGTTCCCCAGGTCTGAGGCATTATCTGTAAAGCAAATGTCCTCACAAGTCCACAGGTGAAATGAGGAACTGCAGGGTGTATCATTCATTCATTCATGCACTGAGTCGCTCATTAACAAATATTTAATGTGTTCTTGGGTATTTTCTATTGCAAATATGTTACCTCCCAACGTAGTGGTTTAAAACAAAAATGAACATGGTCTCACACAATTTCTTCAGGTAGAAACCCAAGAGTGGCTTAGATGGTTGGTTCTGACTGGAGATGCCACTGGGGGTTGCAGTCAAGATGTCAGCTGGGACTGCAGGCTTGCTTAGAACTGGATGAGCCAGCTTCCTGGTTGACTCACTCTCATGGCTGGCAGCCTGGGGCTGGTTGTTGGCAGGTCTCAGTTCCTTGCCATGAGGACCTCTACAGAGGGCTGCTGAGTGTCCTCATGACAGTGACCAGCCTCCCCCAGCATGAGTGAGCCAAGTGAGACCAAAGCCAAAACCAACAGCTGCTGTGGTCAAGTCTGAGAAGTCACACACTCATTTCCCTAGTATCTTTTTTGGTTGCATGGCCAGTCCTATTTAGGGTTGCCTTGGCAAATAAAAATAGGGGGTGCCCAGTTAAATTTGGATTCCAGGTAAACAATGAGTATCGAGTATAGTATTAGTATCTACACATATGTCCTATGAAATACTCTATAATGCTAAAAAACCATTGACCATTTTATCTGAAATTCCAGTTTAACCATCTATCTTGTGTTAATCTGAAACCCTAGCTATTTAGGGTGGAAAGGGACGGCACACAGAAGGGGTGTGAACACCAGGAGGCAGGACCATCCAGGCCACCTGGGGAGCTGCCTGCCCACAGCCCATGATCTTGCCAGGCCTGATGGGGGATAAATGGAGAGCGATTAAAAATAGTGCTTCCTGCACTCACCTAGCTTATAGTCTGGTCAGACCAACTTGAATCAGATCACCAGGCAAATAAGTGCCACACCTTGATGATGACAACGTGTTTCAAAGAGAAGTAGCTGGAGCATGGGGTGGGGCTGGCCTTCTCATCAGAACAGCTATTTTTATGTTATAGACTGAGCTTCTACATGTGACATTGTGTGCGTGTGTGCCGGAGTGGCGGGGCGGGACACCTGGAAGGTTCTGCCAGTGAAAGAAGGAAATAAAACCCTGAACACACACACATGTATATGTGCACAAAATGGCACGAAGTGAATAAGGTCGGTAGTCCAAGTAACAGGGTTGGACAAATGTCAGTGTCCTGGTTTTGGTGTTGCACTTCAGCTGTAGATGTCAACACTGAGGGAAAGTGCACAAAGGGTACACAGGATGCTGCCACTTCTGCAACTAGGATTATTTTGAAAGTAAGTTAACAGCCCATTTGAAGCATCAGCTGTTACCTTGGAAACAGGGTTAGACAGAATAATCCAGACTTGTCAAAGGACTTCAGGTGGAGCAGGACCCTTCGCCCAGATCACACCCTGGTGGGTGGAGGGCTGTCAGCTGCAGGAAGGGATTCTGATTGTTAATTTTCCTGAAAAGTGTTCTTTTAAGAGAGAGAATGGGGTCGAGGGTTAAGAGATGTCCTTCTGGTTCTAGAAACCAGATTTGGGGGTTGGGGGTACCTGGAGTAGCTCCATCAGCGGGAAGAACAAGCCCTGGTCCTGAGCTGGAGGCGGGGGAACGTGTCCAAGAAGCCTGGGGCCTTAGCCTTTTGGGGGCCTGGAATCACTGTAATTTATGTAGTAAAGGAATGTTTTTATTTTGTAGCCTAATTGAAGAAAGGGAACATTCTGTTGACATCAGCATTTCCCAGAGAGAAATTTCATAACTTGATGAATTCCTATGTTATTTAATGACTTGCAGGTAGGGCTGATAAATTGGTTTTTATGATGACCGTGGCGGATGGTATTTTCCAAAGGTGGCTGAGTTTCTCACGCACATGTGCTTCTGTATTGTGCCCTTGTAACTTGACCACCTGGAGGAGGGGTCTGCTTCTCTACTCCCTTGAATGTGGGAGGCCCTATGACCACTCTGACAAACTGTGTGGAAGTGACACAGTGCCATTTCCAGGTGTATCCCTTAAGTGACCTGCAGTTCTGCTGCTTCTGGCCCCTTGCAACATGTTAACAGCAATAGATGAATGGAACAATGAATGGGCCTGGATGTCTGCTACCCAGTGACTGGTGACCATGAACTTCCTGTGTTCAAAACTCCAACCCACTGAAGTCTCAAGCCAGGAGAGACAAGAGCTACCTCACACTGCAGGTTCATCATATAACCAGGCACTGTGCCCACACTACCCATCAGCCGCTCAATGAACCCGTGGCATTTTACTTCCCTACTTAGCAGATGGAGAAACAAAGGCTCAAGCCACATGGCCAGTAAGTTGGCCTGACTCCAAAAATCTATGCCCCAAACCACTATGAGTCACTACCTCCCAAAGCCTGACTATTATCATGAGATGTCAGGCAATGGGGAGTAGGGAAAACGCCTTAACTCTTAAAGATGCAAAACTGTTCTGGGCTCAGCTGGTCCCTCAGTATCTGGCGGCTGTATAGGAAAGGGTTAATTTGACTCAGCAGACCTGGAGTGTCCAAACCCTGCCTATGCCTAAGGACTGGATCTTGACCAGCTCCTGGGAGATGACTGCTAAGGCCCTGGATTATCCTATTTAATAAGAGTATCTCTGTATCCCAGGGACCCTAGGCCACACCAGACCAGACCAGACTGTCTATGCTAACCATGATTTACAATGGCGGTTTGGGGGTCACTGTATCATCTGACCTCTGCAGGGGCTGAAGACTGAGTAACTAAGGCAGTCACGTGGTTGCTCCATGCCTATATGACCAATGCCCAGTAAGAAATGCTGGACACCAAGGCTCAGGTGATCCTGGTGGGCAGTGCTTCACGTGTGTGCTGTTGACTGCTGAGGGGAGAAGGACAATTGGAAGCTTGAGCCTGCTCTCTCCTGGACTCAGCCAATCCACTTTTTTCCTTTGCTGATTTGAACGTGTTATATTTTTACTGTAATAAACCTTAACCCGTGAGTCTAACAGGTTCAGAGTTCTGTGCATTCTGAGACCTGAGGGTGGCCTTGGGGACCCCTGACACCGGATCTCAGCTGTACCCTGCACAAACCCATTCTTCAGTCTTTGCTGTCATCAATCTACCGGACAGAATTCAGTATGGAAAAGTAACATCTATTCAGTCTATAAAGTAAGGCACAGACAAATGAGCCCCTGTTCACTTTATTCAAATAATATATATGTATTTTTTGCTGTGAAACTGGAGTAGAACTGAGGAAGAATCAAAGAAAGCCTCATATATTAAATTCTTAAATAGATTCTTTGAATTCAAAAGTAAGGGTCAACAGGAGAGGCACAAACTGTGGGCCTTGTCCCAGCAAACAAAGCCACCAAGGCAGTCCTGCAAATAAAGGAAAATGGCAAATCCATTTCTTTAAAAAAAGTTCTTGAAGGGAAAAAATACAAAATACCTAAAATTTCAAAAGCTGGAATACTTCCACACTCTTTGATCTCTACCCACAAGCGTCCAAAGATAGAGCGTTTCAAGGTAGGTGTTCAGTGATTCAGCTTTTGCAAACATAGGCAAATTCATTGCTCGTTAGCAGTCCTGTTTTGGTGATTAATGGCAAGCAATATGCTTGGATTAGAGGTCCGATTTCCACTCGAATGCCAAGTTTCTTCTCCTGGTGACAAAGCCATTTGCAGAGATCTGAAAGGGGAGAGAAGTGTGTGAGGCCCAGAGGAACAGTTGTGAAATGGACCTTTCATGTAGTACGTGTGACAGTAGAATGGGTGATCTTCATGCATTCCTAGAAGCAGGTGAAGTTTTCTATAACATCCCCATCTCAACCTGCAACCATTCACCTGACCTCAAAGATCCACTTTTCATATTTATGAATAGGAAATGGTGATGATCATGTGATAAACACCAATGAATTTTCGGAGCCATGGGGAGGATTAGTATTTGTCCAAGGCCAATGCTACAGCAGAGATTAGCTAAAGCACCCTGTAACGGTCTCACTTAAACAGTAAAGCGGGGACTATCAATGAGAAGGTTCAAGATTCTACTCATGAATCTTCGGAGAAGGAGGCAAAAAGGGTTGGATGGAAACATGGAGAAAGACTGCTCTCCACGGGAGGCTTCTTTTCTTTGGAATTCAACAGCAGTCCTGGATGTGAGCACGGCCTGATAATGACAGGGACTGAGGGTCTCCAGCCTTGCAGGTTGGTGCAAAGTAGATTTAAAGAAATACAAAAAAAAAATGCTGATTATTTCAAAATAAGATCAAACAGACTCCAGGCTAGAAGCTCTTTTGCCATCTAAAAGTAGGGAAAGTAACCATCCATGCAAGCTGGGTCTGACTTCTCGTAGGTTCAGCAAAGTGACCTAGGAAGCAAGCCACATCCACAGCAAGGACCCAGCGCTTTACAGTCTCCAAGTGCTCCCACCTGGGCCAGCTCGCTGACCGTGACTGCCCTTTGCAGGTAGACACTGATGAGTCCCTAATCTCCAGATGTGGAAAATGGAGGCTGAGAGAAGTCCAAGCTGAAGTGGGTGCTTCAGTCTGTGACTTCCCAAGTGCAGAACTATTCTTCCCTCCCCCTTAGCAAAATATGGATTGATAAGTATGAACTTAAAATCTTTCTTTAAAAGCAAATTCTGGAGGAGAAGACTTCAGGGGGGAATTCTGCCATTTGATGGCTGGGTGGCCTTGAGCAAGTCAAAGTCCTTCTCTGGGCTTTGGTTTTCTCTTTAAAATGGGACAATTGTGTTACCTGCCTTGCAGGGATGCTGAGGGTTAAGTAACAGGAGGAGTACCTGGCCCAAGGCCCTGGAGTTATTCTTAGACTAGAATTGCTTGGCTATTATTAGAACCTTAACCGCTTTGGGCCAACCTGCTGCTGTTTATAGATGCTGGACTGGCAGGCAGCACAATGTGCAAGAATGGGTCTAGAATCCCCATCCATCACACGGGCCCTCCATGCCCCTGCCCAGGATCAGACAAACCTTTTTCTGGTAGGTTCAGCCTTGAGCCCTGCCCCCAGCCCCCATCCAAAGCCAGGAGACTAAGCCATGTGTCGGTAAATAGCTCCCCCAGCCTGTCGCCATAGAAACCTCGGATGGGGCTGGGTCAGCCCACCTTGGTGGACACTCCTTCCCAGGGAGGCTCTGGAAGGACAAGTTTTGTGAAAAAGTGGCTCCTGGGCTCCAAAATGATGGGAGCTGCCCCCTGGAAGTCCGCAGGCCTACCTGGAAATCATGAGCTTCCTAAGTGGGAAGAGGTGCTGTTCTGGTTCACCTGGAGGAAGACAACACAGAGGAAGGGGTCACAGCCAGCTGTGGGTGCCAGGGTCCCGCTCCCTGAGGTTCACCCCCAGCAGCACTGAATCCGGCACACACACCCTCCTCAAGTATGTACTGCACACCTACTATGTGCCAGGGTCTGGGGATGCTGTAAACATGACCTCCCTGTTCTCACGCAGCCTACATTTTAATGGGGAGAGGACCTGTTACACAGACACATATGCAGGATAATATCTCCTCTGGGCAGTACAGTGGACTGACATGAGTGACAGGTGTAGGGACTGCTCCAGATAGGGAGGTAAGAAGAGGCCACCACAAGGGGATGGCCTTTAAACTATAATCTAATGGAATGTAAACATCTGAACTTTGTCCTGGGTGCCTGGCAATGGGCAGCCCCTGCCTAAATCCCTTGGCACCTCCCTAGTGAGAACGGGCATCTTTTATATGCTGATGAGACGGCTGATGGCAAGGGGTCCCTACAAAGCTTCAGGATGGGGGATGGTTGCCAGAAAGACCAAAGTCTGATTCAAGAGTTGGAAATGTCAGCCCCATCCCCTGACCGCCGGGGAGATGGAGTTAATAAGTAATGGCCAGTGATTTCACCAATCTTGCCTACTTCATGCAACCGCCACCAAAGCCCGACATGACGGGTTCAGAGAGCTTCCAGATCGGTGAACACACAGAGGGGTTGGAGGATGGACACCCAGCGAGGGCATGGAAGCGTGGTGCCCCTTCCCCCACACCGTGCCCTCACGCATCTCCTCCATTTGGCTTTTTCTGAGTTATTAGCCTTTGTAATAAAATGGTAATCTAGGAAGTAAAGTGTTTTCCTGAGGGAGGCCCGTGAGTTGTTCTAGGGAATTATCAAACCTGCAAGGGGAGCTGTGGGAATCCCCAAATATTTACTTAGCTGGGCAGAAATGTGGGGAGCCTGGGTACCCTATTGTGGCTGGCACCTGAAGTGGGGGCAGCCTTGTGGGACTGAGCCCTTAACCTGCAAGGTCGGATGCACACTTGGAGTCCACATTAGAAATACACTGAATTATTCAACATATGATATTCCTTCATATTTTGCTCCTAACAGAGCAAAAAGAGTCCCAGCCCCACTAGATGTCTTGAATATGCCATTCACTTCAGGGCAGTGCAAACTGGTCCAACTGTTTTAGTTCAAGAGTCTTAGAAAGATCTGGAGCCTTCCACCCACTGATCCCATTCCTTAAAAATTATTCTAAGGGAATGATTTAATAGAGCCTCCAACGTCTCGCCCACAGAAGGGAGGCAAAATCAGGATGATGTGCACATGACATCACTTGCGATGTTGCAAAAACCGGGAACAATCTTAGGGTAACAGTTAGGTGACTGGTCCCACAGGGGAGCATTCCAGAGAATACTGTGTAGCTATCTAAAATGGACACAGTGAAACCCAAAAGGCAGAAGAAAACATTAAGAAAGCCAAACAAGGCAGCTTAAAGGATGGAATTGTAAGGAATGAAAAATGTATATTCAGGTGGGCAAAAAACACCATGGGCAAGAAAGAAGAGTTTGGGATTGTGGCTAATTCCCTGCCCCCACTTCTGTTTGTTTGTTTTTTTGTATCATCTTGGTTAAAACAAATAATCAGTTAGTGCTAATTCTGGCAACACATTTTCACAGTGGCAAGAAGATGGGTCTCTGGTTCCCACTAAGAGGGTGTGGACATCCTCCTCCCAAAGAACTAAGATATGTGTGCAAAAGCTGTGGGGTCCAGAAAGGAGACTTCATGAATTTGATCATTACACTGGGGGTTGGCATGGGGTGGCCTACCCTTTACTTGCCACATTAAATAAAACACACACACAAACGGCAAGTATTCACTTAGCACCACCACTTCATTTATAAAAAGGAAGCACTCTGTCACCAAGAGGAAGGGTGGCTATAATGTCGGTCAAGGGGAGAGTTCTGGACGTGACCGTACATGGGGAGCACAGCCGTGCGGAGGCAGGAACATGTATGGATGTCTACATTCATATGGACCCTCATGTTCCTCTTTTTTTTTGCCAGACTGATGAAAATTTTGCACCGTGTTGTGTTCAGGGACTGCCACTTTCAGTAAAACTAAATTTCAGGCTAGAGACAGAAGGCTAGACTGGGAGTCCCCAGGAGTCCCTCCAAGTGCTGTCAGGCCAGGAGACAAGGTGGGGAAGGGGATCAGGCAGAAGGGCTGCTGAGATGTGGCCCCCACTGGGTCAGGCACAGAGGGAGCCGCAGGCCCCACACCCTCTACCTCCTGCCCCGCCCAGTGTTCTGATGGGGAAACTAAACTCTCTGCCATATTAGGGAAGAGAGGGGTTCAAGGGCGGAAGGCTTCAAGCTAGGGGTCAAGACAGCCGGACAGAGAGAATTCAGCACTCCCCTTTGGGGTTTCTAACCTGAAAATATCCTTTTAGATTGGCTGGTGTTTTATAGTCTCCTTTCAAGACCTATGAAAGAGAAAAAGAAATACTGCTATCATGGAAATGATCAGAGAATAAAATTTAGTCCATGAGCTCCACATCCACCCTCCTACCCACCCATCCAGTCAGTCATCCATCCATCCAACACACATTTATTGAGCTCCTCTTATTCTAGACATTATTCTAAGCTCTGGGGGTACAACATTAGCCAGACAATTAAAATGCCTGTTCTCCTGAAGCATTCTAGAGGGAGAGCCAGACAATCCACAAGTAATAATAAACAGAAATAAATGAGAACACATCAAACCATGGGAAGCAGAGCCAAGAAAGAAAAAGAGGATGTGATCAAGAGTGAGGGGGTGGGGTGGGGAGGGGTGGAGCCTCTCTTGAGTGGTTGGTCTAAAAGGGCCTCCTGGGACAGGTGACCTTCAATCTGCAACCTCAAGGACAAGGAAAACCAGCCGGGTTAACGCTCTGCAGGAAAGCATTCCAGGTAGAGGACACGACTAGGGCAATGGCCCTGGAGTGGGAAGCAGAAAATTCCAGGCCTTTCCATCTCTTGATACCGAAGGCACCGTACAGTCCAGTACTGTCTAGCAGAATATAATGTGAACTAACTACATAAAATTTTCTAGTAACCACAATACAAAAGAAGTGAATCAGGTGAAATTAATTCTAGTGACATCTTTAATTTAACCTGATAGATCTACAATATTAATACTTCAACATGTAACCAACATGAAAATGATTGAGAAATTTTACATTTTTTTTTTTAGTTCTAGGACTTCAAATCCAGCGTGTAATTCCCATGCACAGCACCTCTCCATTTGGACTAGTCAGCTTTCACTAGTTACATTTCAGGGACCACCAGGATTAGCGTGCAGTCTGTAACTGCAGCGCCGGAAAAGACAATTTCATTAGCACGGGGTCCCTGCAGCTACTGGGTTTACTGCACCCAGGATCCATTAAGGGAACACACAGAGCCTACAGCATACATGCAAACATGCATACATACATGGCTTTCACGGAGAGTACTTACTTTGTAGTAACAGCAAAATTACTGTAACGATCAAAGAAATGTCTGGCACTTGTCAAGACGTGTGGGGCCCCCAGGGAGTAAACCTCTTTGGAAGAAAACTTGAGACGTCTTCCATTTTAAACAAACGATGGTGCTCCAAAGAGTTGACCTTAATCACCGTGCTCATCAGTGTTTTTAAATTTTGTACACAGCACACAGGTCAGGTCTAACTCCAGGAGCTTCTGACCCCACAGTCCGGAGCAAGCCAGGGGCATCCACCTTTTAAAGAGACTTTAGAGGAGCTGCTGCTGGGTCCCTAGCTGGGAACACAGGGTAAGGAGAGCCGGCTGCCACCGGCAGTCTTCATCCTGGCCCAGCCACCGCCTCTGAGAAGCGCCTGAGGGCTGGATTTCAAGATCATTACCAGCTGCTCCTTATTTTTAATGTACGTAATTAATTTTCTACCATGAAATCCAGCCTATGTACAGAAAAGTGTATGAAATGCATAAGCCGTTTAAAGAACAACATTATTAAGTAATAAAAATTAAAATGAATAAGCAGTAATCATATTTATAATTAAAGTAATAAAATAATAAAAGCAAACCACATCCAGGGTATTTGCAACACCCACGCTATCAAGTGCAGGCTGGGTATCTTCACTGGGTCTCTATTTCCACAAATAGATGTTTGCAAGATGATGTCAAGGGGAAGAGGAAGTGATGACACCCACAGATGGGCTCACACTGCAATTACCAGAGCAGAGCCCCCAAAGTTCAGTGTACATTTCCTCTGTTAAAAAGGAAGCTTGCAAGCATCAGAGAGGTGTTAAAGACTTGTTTGCACCATATGGAGTCTTCCAACTGAAGACCTGAGAGGAGAATTGAGAGAGGAATGGCTTTCTCCCTTTGTGATTCCGTGAGAGAGCTGTTTACTTTCTACGGTCAGCATGTGTTCGGAAATGCTGAGCTTAGCTTAAATTAAGGCTCCGGGTCTTAATGATGTAAGGGCCAGGAAGGCTCCTCCTCAGGCCTGCGGCCCACACTTGGGTGTTTTCACAGAGTACCTCTAAGGAAGCCAGAACACAGCACCCAAATAAAACAGAAGCTGGGACAGCAACATGTAAGACAGACCGTGAATGTGTTACCTGTTTTCTTGCCCAGGATCAGCCTCCTTTAACACTTCAGGAGCATCTTGTCAAGAGTCATTTCCCTTGACCATCTTAATCAAGAAGTAATTTAAACTGCCCTAAGGTCACATTTTCTGAGAAATCATTAAAGAGCAATAAAGGTACATAAATGGTTTATTTATACCCAGTCTCAATGAAGACCATAAGTCTTTATAAACTTTATAAACAGACAAACAACTAGGGAAATGGGGGAAACGGTAAATAAGAGTAGAGAAATAGGATAGAATTAGTACACAAACGGGCCTGCTGTTAGATGCTACAGAATGTGAGACAGGCTACCAGCTGGTTGGAGCTTCCTTGTGGCCCAAGCAAAACTGGAAATACAAGCAGTCCTATGATTCACCATGTCCATCATACAGAAACAAACGAACCGCTTAGGATTCGAGAAACTCAATGTTTTCTCAGGCAGCTGAAGCCTGACAGCACGTCTCCACGTGGGCACGTGTACTCACCCGGTGTGTGTTGTTGATGACAATGGGGTCAGGGTTGCCGTAGTTGGGGGGGTTTGCATAGGGGTCATAGCCCAGCCGAGCCAGCATGGGGGCAATCTGGGCCATGTCCCTCACCACGTCCCCAGGGATGTGGCCAGTCCACTTGGACAGCGCTTCCAAGTTCACAGGCTTGATGACCTGGTCTGTGGATCGCTCAATCCTGGGGAGAAAGGAGAGGCTGGATGGGGCACAGGCAGACGCACACAGCAGCTCCCTGCTCAGTCACTCTGGGGCAGCTGGAAAGGCTGGGGGTACCTGGCCCTGGGCCAGCTGGGCCCTTCTCAACTGTGAGACTGTGGGCAAGTCACTTGGCCTCATCATAGCCACTCTGTACAACAGAATAAGAGCATGTGGTGGGAAATTGGAAGAAAGTATCAGGCAGGGCACATGGCTGGTGCTTAAATTCTGCTTCCTTGACATCCCAGACTTTTAAAACTAACTTTTTCTTTACATGAGTAAGGTGGATATTTTGTTCTTGAGAAATAATTATAAAACACTAATGGTAATGTAAGAGTCCCTGTGGTTATCAGCCCCCTGCAGGGACCCAGTCTTAGCATTTTGAGCACATCCGTTCAATCCGTTTCCTGTGGTTTAAGTAGTCGAGCAGACTTGGAGCCAGACTGCCCGGGCTCAAGGGCTGGTTATGTCAGCACTGTCTGTGTGGCCCTGGAAGATTTACTTCACCTCTCTGAGCCTCAGTTTCCTCATCTATCAGAGGGAACAGTAATAGTACCTACTTCATGGAGCTTTTTTGGGGAATTAATGAGTCAATAATAGAAGAGTAAATGGTACATTGGAAGGGCTCAGTGTTAGCACTCTCTCCTACAAACACACACAGAAAACCTATGGTTTTAGTTGCAGTTTTTCAAAACAGAAATAATATGCTATAGGTATTGGTTTGTACCTTTCTTTTTTCACCCAACACCTTGTTTGTTTGTTTTTTTTGCAGCTGTGCAGCATTCTCCCATTCCTTATTCTTTTCCATTCCCCTGAAGATGGACATTTAGGTTGTTTTCAACTTTGTGCTATTACAATGGAACAAAGCCATCTTCCTATATGTGCTGCTTTCCTCTCTCCTATAACAGGCTTCCCAACCCATCTGATCTCCCAATTACAGTTCAAGGACCTTGGAGAATGGAGGATGAAGGATGGGGAACTCCCAGGATCGAGGACCTATTTCTAGATGTTTCCATCCCAACTAAGAGAGAACCTGAGGAAGAAGTACAAAAACTAAGATGTAGCCATAGGAAGGCAGGTCCAAGAGACAGGAAAACTGGGTAGGGGAAAAGGGTGTGAACTGGTGGGAAGAGCATGGACTTGGAGTCTGCAGACCCAGATTTAAATCTCAACTCTAGCCAAGATGTCAAAAATCTCAAATATGTGCATGGCCTTTGCCAAATCCCTGCATCTCCAAGACCTCATGGGACAGAAGCAACATAGAGGCCTCCCGGAACACCAGCGGCAGCAATGGTTGACATGAGTCAACGAAACTAGAGGAAACCCAAGTGTCCAAAAATAGGGGATGTTAAACCAAATACAGTAACCCACAAAGTGGAACATTACAGTCATTCAAAATCATGTCACAGTGGAGGGGGCCACAGGCAAGTGGTCCCACACCCAAAGTGAGAGAGAAGATTACAGAGAAACACACTTGTTCAGCAGGACTCTGGTTTTATCAGTATTTCCTGACAAAAGACAAGTAGGTCATGTATGAACATCTGGGTGGTGGGATTATGGGTTGTTTTTCCTTTCCCAAAGAAATGGTCCCAATTTCCTACAATAAAGATGTATTTCTTTGGTCATCTGACTTTTTGTCATAGTTTTTAAAATCGCAGCTCCAGCACTAACTGGCTAGGGTGCCTGGCACACGGCACTTCACTGCCAGGAGAGAGCTGCTCTCGGTCCTCAGCTCTGCTCAGGGCTCACGAGCGCTTAGATAAGGAGCCTGGCAGGGTCCAGCCGTGAAAGGAAGGAGGAGAACGAGCTGTCCCGGGAAAGACTGTCCTTTCCCTGGGTGCTCAGGGATGCTCGGGCCTGACCAGAACGGAGGCACGGAGATGGCACGCTCTGATCCTGCAGTGTGTGGGTGCTCGAGGTCTCAGGAGAGCACGGCCTTCCTGAAGGTGGAAGACAGAGAGCAGGGCACAGACGGAGGGGAGGAGAAGGGGGCTTGGATGTGGAGAGCTTGAGAGCACATGCTCTGGAGTCCAACAGACCCGGGTTCAAGTCCCGACACCATACTTTGCTAGCTGTGTGGCCTTAGGCCAGTAACTTCCTCTTTCTGAAACTCAGTTTCTTCACCTGTAAAATGGAGATAAGAGCAGTTCCTATGTCCTCAGATTGCTGTGGGGATTAACAGAGTAGTATTTGTTAGGGGCTTAACTTAGTGCTTACCACCTAGCAGGTCCTCATGAGATGGTAATGATGGTGAGAATAATGAGCATGCCAATAAAAACAGTATCAACACTAACAGGAAGAATAGCACCTAACATGTATTAACCTATTTGATGCTCACAGGTCATCTAGGAGGTACATAGATTATATCTTCAGGGTACCAGTGAAGAAATGGAAGCACAGAGAGGTTGAGTCACTTACTCAAGGTCACAGAGCTAGGAAGTGGCAGAGCTGGGATTTGAACCCAGGCAGCCTGGTTCCAGATTCTGTGTTTTTAACTTAACATTTACCCACAACACCTAACCACAACACATATTCACAATTTGTTGACTGCCTCAAAAAAGAGAGGTGGATTGCCCAACTTTTTTGGAAAATGAAGCTGAAGTTCAGAGAAGCATAGTGACTTGCCCAAGGCCACACAGCTCAGAGCAGCAATGCTGCTCTTCCCATCTAGTGCCTCTGACTCCTGGACCAGGAGTCTGGGCGCAGCATAGAGGGCTCCACTCACTCACTTGGACAGGGAGACACCCCCAGGCTTGCCAATGAGGTCCTCGTGGTGCAGGACGGCATCGCTCCAGGTGATGCCGAGGAAGTCAAGGATGAGCTTCAGGGAGCGTCTGGGGTGCAGCACCAGCTGCTCGTAGTACACGGGCAGGCATTTGTCCTTGCCCACCTCCATACACTGCGCATACATGACCTCTATGGCCTTGTTCCACTTGGTGAGGCAGTCACGGTAGCTGCTGAGGTCGAAGCCGGCGATGGTGACCTTGCGGGTGATCATGGAGTGCACGGAGGCACGACCGTCCCTCACCATCAGCAGGAACTTGGAGTTGGGGAACAGGCGCGACAGATAGACGGAGGACTTGAGCGTGAAGGGGTCCTTGTTGCAGAGCACGCGGGCTGGCTCACCGTGCTTGGCAATCACCTCCAGGATGAAGGCCTGCATGGCAGCGTCCAGCACCTCATCAGTCACGCCTGCCTCGTCCAGCCGCACCTTCTCCCTGCCAGACTTGGACCAGGCCTGGCGCATGGCCAGCACGCGGGGGATGATGCGCGTCTCCTCGCCACAACGTACCTCGGGGTGGGCGTCCAGCATGGCGCGCATCAGGGTGGTGCCGCTGCGGGGTACGCCGCCCACAAAGATGAGCGGCATGGCCTTGCCGTATCGGTACTCCACGTGGTCTGTGCCCACCATCACCAGCTCTTCCTGCTCCGGCCGCATGGCCCGCCGAGGGCTCCGCGGGCCCTCCAACACTGCACGGCACTCCAGCACCTGCTGCCCCAGCTGGAAGGCCAACACCAGGGCCAGAGTGCAGCTGGCTGCCAGCAGCACCCTCCGCACCGACAGGCGCATGCTGGGCCTGGGGTGGGGGGCCTGCTTCAGCGATAGGGCGGCGGGGTCACATCTGTGGAGAGAGAGGGGCACACGCGGTCAGCCCCCTACCATGCAGACCCCAGTGACAGCAGACGTCAGGACGCTGACATTCACCGCTAAGGCATGCTTTTCATAAGCACAGGCTGTGTGCTTGGCCTGTGCTGCGTGCTTCCCTTAACTCGTGAGACCCCCCCCAATAACCCAAGGGGTGTGTATTGTCATCACCCTCAGGGATGCTGGAGCCCAAATGCCTGGGTTCAAATCCCTCTTGCCACTCCAAGCATGGGAGCTTGTCCCATGTTTCAACCACTCTGCCTGTTTCCTCACTGATAAATGGAAAGAGTCATAATTTTAAATAGACTATCAAAATGTGGAAAATAATAATGCACTAGAATTTCAGCTTCCAGTAGTACATCCATTACTCAAGGACAGGGTTTTTGCCTGTTTTGCTCTCTGCTGTCTCCCCAGCTCCTGGCACAGAGCCTGGCACCTGGTAGGTGCTCAATACTTACCTGTGGAACATGCCTTGGCTGAACGAGCAGGGCCAGCACAGCATTAAGTGCTATGAAACTGTCACTGTAAAGACACAGGAGGGAACTCAGGCATGGAGAGGGTGCTTACAGGCCCTGGCTGGGAAGCGGCCAAGCCAGAGTCCAAGATTAGACGCAGGCCAGCCAGCTTCAGTGTCTGCTCTGAATGACCACACTGGCTCAGCAGGGAATGCTTCTCAGGAAGGAGAAGGCACAGAATATCCCATTCTGGGCTTCTTCCAAATCCCTCTCCATTTACTCAGTCTTCCTTCAGCAAATGCCTATTAAGCACAAAGGTGCCAGGCACGGTGCTAAGTGCTGGGGCCAGGAGAGTGGACCAGCCAGCCAGTCCTCTGGCCTCAAGGAGCTTACATCCTAGCAGGGGATGAGATGGTACACATGCTATGGCCAGAGTGGGATAACAGTTTGCAAAGAAGTAAGCCAGACACAGTAAGAGGGGTCAAGCAGGGGCAGAAAAGAGAGGTCAGGGAGGGCTTCTCAGAGTTGACATCCAAGCAGAGAGCTGGATGAGGAGGCCATGGAAACCTGTGTGGGAAGGGTGCTGAAGACAGAGAGAACGGAGAGTGCAGAAGATGGAAGGGGATGTGGGGTATTCAAGAACCTGAGAGGAGGCTGCTGGGGCAGGAGGGCAGGGAGGGCCCAGCTCAGGTCCTCACAGGACAGGGGAAAGAGCTGGACTTCCTCAAAGAGCCTGCAGGGGGTGAGAATGGGGGTGGGGAGGCTCCTGGGGGGACTCATAGATGCCAGGGCTGTGGGGTGACATGGGAACAGGAGGGGATGACTTAAGTCATGACTTATGACCCTGAACCTACCCGCCTCACCCTTGCCAGGCATTGCTGAAGATGATCAGCTTTCAATGGTGATTCTTCCCACCCTGCCCGGCCACCCTCCTCGCCAGTCCCCTCCAATGACAAGCCTCCGTTCCTCCCCAGTTGGTCCTCCAGGTCCCTCAACTTTGCAACTGAGGCCCAATACAGCAGGGGCAGCCTCAGAGGCTGGACTCCCAGCCAGCCTCTGCCCACCCCAGTGCTTCTCTGCCTTTTGCTCCTACTGCATTTCTGAGCCTTCCTTTCCTCATCCACCTCTCCAACCACCAGCTTGAAGTCTCTGGGCACTCAAGAAGTCAGGCAGGCCTGGGTTCAAATCCCAGCTCTGCCACTTCGTGTGTGGCAGGTGAGCTTGGGCAGCAGATTTCATTTCTCTGAGCCTCATCTGTAAAGTGGGTCTAAGACTGTCAACCTCAAAGGGCTATCATGAACTTAAGAACAGACCTGGTGCATAGGGAGCATTGGAAAGAATACTCGCACTTTCTACCACGATCATAGGTTATTCATTTATTCCAACATTTCATGAGTACCTATTGTGGGCCAGGAGTTGGGCTAAGGAACAAGAGACCTAACTTCAGCCTTGAGTCACACATGGGCTCCCAGCTGCAAGTGAGAGCCGGGTTCTACCTGAGTAAGTGAGGGAGGGCTTTCTGCAAGAGGCAGCCCTCATGCTAAGTTCTGAACAGTGGGCAGGGAGAGTTCTGAACAGCCAGGGAGAGGAGAGAAGGGTGTTCCTGGGCAAAGGGAAAAGCTGTGCAAAAGCACATGCAGGAAGGAACCCAGCCTGACCGGGAGCTGCCTGCTGCTAGGTGGGTGGTACACGGTCTGTAGGGAAGGGAGAGGGGAGATGGTATTCCTTGTTGGACATGAGGTTCAGCCCAAACCATCGAAAGACTCAGTTTGCAGCTGCCCCAATCCACCCACAAGGGCCTGGGCTGCCTGGGGCCCCTCGGGCCAGAGCGAGTGGAAAATAAACATCAAAGCTGAGGGAACACACAGGCTCAGGCCTGGGGTTGAAACTGCTGAGAGGCCCTGGCATTTCCTGGCTGTGTGGCTTTGGGAGAGTCACTTCCTCCACGTAAACCACAGTTTCCCTTGGCTGCACAGAGGGGTGGGTCCACTGACCTCAAAGGCTGTTCTAGAAGGACCAAACAAGCCAAGACGAGTCTCATCCTGGAGTCACTGGCCTCTCCGGGCATTGGAAAATAGCTGGGGACCCTCTGCCCAGAAAGTACGCCCATCACAATTTGCTGATAATGTTGGGGTTTCATCTGTGCCCTGAATCCAGGGTTTGGATTGGAAAATTGAATTCTGGGGCACTTTGAGGGAGGAGGCTGGCTGGATAGGACATAGCGCCACTCAGAAATCCCTCCAAGGACCTGTCTAGTTCATTCAAGCACCCACTGACATTCTCCTCTTAGACCCAAGACTAGAATTCTGCTGATTAGTATTATTTCAGTTCAATGCTTCTGGGGACTGCCAATCACACTTTAGTTAGAATTAGCACCATTACCCTTTCTTTCTAGCAGGGAGAGATGGGAGCTATTGAGGAACAGAGAACAGTGGGATATGCGGTGGAATAAAGAAAGGTGATAATTTGGGAAGGTTGTTTCCGGAAAGGAAAGGTGCGGTGGGCACGCTTTGTGTGTCCTCTCAAGCTTATGTTTGGGGTGATCTGGACACTAAATACCAGGGGGAAAGGCCTGGAACAGTTGATAGGAAAAAGAAGGAAAACATTATCAATTCAGAATTATCAATAATAATTCTGATTATTCATTTGCCTGTAGCGTTTTAAAATGGAACACCTGAATTTTGTGTTTTTACATTTATTGAGCCCTTGTTCTGATTAAAGCATTTTCCGTGCATCAGCTTATAGGATCCCCTCCACCACCCAAGGGTAGGGATGCCTCGCCCTCAGTAGTTCAGAGAGAAGAAGCAACTAGTCTGAGGTCGCACCGAGTGGCAGACCCGGGCTGGCCCAGGCTGAGGCCAAGCTGCTCAATGCCCCTGGACAGGACCCAGCGAGAGGCTCATGTCTTCCACCAAAAGAAAGCAGCTCCGATCAGGCAGGTCAGACATGAGCAGAAGACAGCAAAGTCCTGGAGGATGGCTTGAGAAGAGCAGGGTGACTTGGCAAGAGAAATCAGCCGGGAATTCACAAAGCAAAAGGCAGCTTCCTGGCCACGCAGAGCCAGGGACCCCACTGTAGGAGGGGCCAGAGGGCTCAGCCCTCTACCCCTGACACTCCTGTGGACCCTGTCAAGGGAGGTATCCTGGCAACCTGGCGAGGATGATGGTAGGTGAGAGCCTCAGACTTGGCATTCCGCAGCCCCGGGTTCGAATCCTGCCTCTGCTCCTTGCCAGCTGGTGACCAGGACAAGGGACCTCCATTTATCTGAGCTTTTATTTTTTTTAACTCCAGAAAAGGCAGATAATAATAACCTTTCTCGGGGAGTTATTATGAGGTCCAGGGAACTTTTGTGTAATGTGCTGAGTAAGCTCACCAAAAACACTCACACTGGCAAGACGGATGCAGAGGGTCTGGATTCTGGCCATGCATTGAATCCGGTCAGTGATGCTCAGTGACCCTGGACAAGTCCCCTGATGCCTCTGAGACCCAGCCTTCCCCTATCACCAGGAGCATCATCTTCCTAAGAGAGGAGGAGCAGAGGCCTGCTCTCTCCATGCGACTGAGGTCCAGCTTGGTCCAGTACCAGATTTCTCAGACAGGAGGACGCCAGCCGGAGGAGTTTGCTTGGCCGCCCAATAACAGAGGCCAGGGGACCAGAGGTGGCCGTGACTAGGCCCTCTGGAGGAGCTGGGACTGTGGGGGGCCATCTGGATGCTCTTACCTCCCCTGGGCACTCCCTGCCCTCGTGGCTGCTTGCCAAGGCTATCTGCTGTCTGACCCCTGCAGAGGCAGACGAGATGCTGCACTGGGGGAAACGCCAGGGAGAGGGACCGGGCGGGAGCTGTGGAGAGTGGCTGGGCCCTCTCAGAGGGGCAGAGGCGGGTGTCGGACTCCCCAGGGGCATCCAGCAGCAGATAGCGGGGGAAGTATTCTGGGGGACGAGCTGCAGTGTGGGAGGGCCACCCCAGCTCAAGACGTAATGGCTGGGGTCTGAACTGGCCCTACAGGTTATACTGGCTTGCTTGTCAGGCAGGGGCATAGAAGCTGAGAATCGAAGCTACGGCACGGTGGAAGGAGCAGCCCCTGGGTCTCGGCCAAACAGGCTTCTCCCTTCCTCTCGGCCCAGGGACCTTGACTTCAGGACAAGTAAATATAACATAAGATAAGCACCACCACTGTACCACTAACCACGACCCGGGACGCTGGGTACGGGTGAACAAGCCGTGCGCTGTCAGCTGCAAAGGGCACCATGTACCTAGCCTACAATAAACAGTGTCCCTAGAGCTGGCCCCCTGCCACTGCCACTTAACACTGACCGAATTCCTACCATATGAGTGCCTTGTGTTAATCCCCTCATGGAGAAACCATCACGATCCCAGTTTTACCGATGAGAAAAAGACACCAAGAGGAAGAGCAACTGACCTGGGGAACAGATGGAACCAGGATCGCCATCCAGATCTGTGAGACTCGGATGCCCAGCTCTTAACCCTTGCGTGCCAGCAACGAGGCCATGAACACAATGGCATCTGGCATGCAGCCCAGCTAATGTGGAAAAAGAGATCCTGATGTACTCACATGCTGTATTCTTACTCTTTCCAGCGAAGAGGATTTTTCATCCGATTCTCACCTTCCCCCATCTTACAGATGGGACCATCGAGGCCCAACAGGGGAAAGCACCTCATAGACTCATACACTGTGAGTCTGCATCCCAACCTCCCTCCTCTCGGTCCCACCCCAGGAGGCAGGGGTGGTTCAGAATGTGGCTCTGGAGCTGGACGGCTCCCTGCCTACACAGATTGTCACTCCCCTGAGCCTCGGCCTGTGAAATGGGTTGTTGGGAGCTTTCAACAAGATAACAGAAAATCCCAGCTATTATTATATTTGTGTCACTTCTTGCCTCCATAGTTTTTTTCCTGTCTCTGAAATCCCAGCCCGAGGAGTAGTACATCTAAACCCGGATGCAGAAGGGCACCCAGGTGTAACCACAGCAACCAGCCCCCTGCCCTGCCTCCAAGCTACAGAGTACACAGGACTGGCTCTCCTGCTACTTGGAACAAATAACACAATTAGGGCACTTGAAGCTCTTCTGGAGGCGAGATGGCTCACCCAGTTGCCCTCAGGCTTTTGAAATGCCCGAGAGCTCAAGAGGTCTGCCAGCTGGGCCGCTCCCACGGCCCTTGGGCCCTTGCAGGGCGGCGGGGCTACAGGACAGGGCTGTCAGGGCCTTCGGTCACTTACAGCTGCATGTCCATGTGGCATGTCCAACTAGCCACTCATCAGTATTTAAATTTAATTTGAAATTCAGCCCCTTGTTCACACTGGCCATATTTCCATTGCCCTGCAGCCAAATGGCAGCTGGTCATGGACAGTGCAGATGGGACAATCTAGAAGGGGTCCCACAAAGCATGGCCCTCAGTCCTTGACCTAAGAAAGGTTTTCACATTTTTTTTTTAAGAGGAAGAGGAGGACGAGATGGGGGAAGGAAAGGGGGCGGGAAAGGAGAACAACAAGAAAAACTTTACATGCCTCAACATCTACTATTTGGACATGCATAGGAAAAGTTTGTGCACCCCTGCTTTACAACATTCCTATCATTTGCAGAAAGCTCTACAGGACAGTGCTGACTTCTCAAACAAATGGCAGGCATGGGGAGCAGCTCAACGAGCCCTTCTCTTCTGGCAGGAGAGACACCAGCATTTATTAAGCACCACTGTGTACTTAACACCAGACCAAGGGTATTCTCTGCTCTCCCTTGTTTGATCCTCACAACAGCCCAGTGGTGGTGGGGGTGGGGAGGTGCACCCTGGTTCTCCAATTTATGAGTGACAAAGGCCTGTGTGGGTGCAAAGTGAGCACAAGTAGGCCAAAAAGCAAAGCCCCCAAGTCAACTGAACCAACCAGCAAACACAAACCACAGGTAATAAAAAAGACAAAAAAGAAACAGACTGAAAATGGCACCAGGGGTAGCGTTCAGGTGGTAGGTTATAGTATTTTTTCTCCTAAAAACATAGTTTCATGGTGTCATTATCCTGTTTACATAATAAAATAATGCAACCAAATAATAGTTTTTGAATGATATGCCAGGCAGAGTAAGAAGCCAGATTGACTGGGCTGAAATCCCAGCTCTCTTGGCTACTAGCTGTCTGACCTTAGTTAAGTCACTTAACCTCTCTGAGCCTCAGTTTCCTCCTCTGCAGAATGGGGGTGATAACACCACCTCACAGGAGGCTCACATGTGGCACCTGGGCATTCCTAGGAGTGCCGGGTGATGTAAGCTAGGATGTGCTGGCACAGCGCCTGGCACGTGCCCAGTGCTATTTGCACACTGGCTTTCATTTTCTGATTTCATCTTCAGCAGAACCTGGTAAGGTAGGTATTTCTATCCCCACCTGATAGGTGAGGAGAGTTGAAGCTCTGAGAATTAGATTTGTAGAAGTCCGACAACTACTAAGAGGAAAAGCCAGTTCTACATCTGGCTCTGTCCCCAGGACACCATCCTTGGTATCATGTCACTAGGCTCTTAACATGGGGACAGCAGGAAGGTAATGTTCCTGCCTCTTTCCACCAATCCATAAGCTGCCCTGAATGATCCCAGGAAGGGAGGGGAGAAGAGAGGGCTGTTCAGTCTTTAAGATCCCTTTAGACTACCAGATTCATTCATTCCACAAATGAGCACCTACTACGTGCCAGACACTGATCAAGATGTTGGGACACACCAGGAGCAGCAAAGGCCCCTGCCCTCGTGGAGCTGACGTGCCAGTGGGCAGCAAGGAAACCAGCAGGTGTGACTATGACACCTGTGCTAAACCCTGGGAGGGAAACGCCCACAGTGGGGGGGGGGGCCATGCCCCGAAGGGTCAGACTCATTGGAACTTTCTAACTCAGCACAATTTCTCCAAGCTCAGCAGATCAAGAGGTTCCCAAGACAGGGGAGGGGAACGCCAGCTAAGGAGGCAGGTCACTGCACTCACACAGTGGCCTTGGAGAGGTGCTCCGTGCCCTTGAACCCAAGCTTAGCCATCCACCCTGCAAGCTCTCCCCATGGGAACCAGCTCCGACATGTTCCATCGCCATGGCTACCACCTACCCCAGCGGGCCCCGCTGACCTCATCACCCCCAGCCCAACAGTCCTGTGCAGAGTTGGGGGGACTGGAGCTCTCTGTTCCCGGGAACAGAGACCTCCGACTGGCTCCGGGGGGAAGCCAGCCAAGAAAAGCCTGGCAGGCCCCAACGGGGCAAGAGGAAGGAGAAAAGAAGTAATTGCAAGGTTCTGGCCCAGGCGTAAGCGTAAGAAGCCCTTGGAGTGGCTCAAGAAGGAAGAAGAGAAGGCAGGCTGGCACGCGGCCTTAAAAACACTAGCTCTTACTTAGTGAGCACTTATTGCACACCAGGTACTGAGACACGAGTTTGACATACATCACTGAGGCTTGTCCTCACCATGCCCCTCTCCCCCCATGACCCCATGTGACTCTCTTATTAACCGTCAGTGTACTGGGCTCAGAGGTGGAATCACCCGCCCAACGCCACACAGCTGGGAGATGAGGGAGCCAGGGGGAAAACCCAAGTAAGTCCTCCTGCCCCCCGGGCCCCCAGCCCCACGCCCACCCTCTCCAAGGCCCGTGCTCCCACATCCAGGGTCTGTCTTTCCTGATCCGCTTTGCATTTTTTTACCTGAAAGGATGAAAGCAGGGCTCCACATGCTGTCCCACCCCATCCTTGGAGGCCCCGGTCAGTGCTCTTAGGCAGTGGGGGTGAGAGGTGATGAGGCCAAGGGTCACATCCCAGCTCTTGCGCTCTGAGGCTAGGGGTCCTGGGTCAGCCTGGGGTGGCCCTCCAGGCCTCAGTGTTCTCATCTGAGAAACAGGAACACCGCCGGGGCAGGGAGCCCTGAGGACCCACATGGGGCCATCGAGCTCGGTACGGAGCCCATATGCACAAGTGTGAGCATCGAACGCCGCGATCCCCGTCGTCACAGCACACGGATGAAGACGGAAGGAACACACACTCACAAGGGTTGCACGGCCTGCTGAGGCAGGCAGCCAACAGTGCTGGCCCTGTGGGCCGGACAGTCTCTGTTGCAGCTGCTCCGCTTTGCCTTTATAACGCGAAAGGAGCTCCAAATGCCTGTGTGCGAGTGCAGACTACTCACAGCATCAGGTGCAGAGCTAGATGGGCCCGCGGGCCGCCCACGCCCTAGAACAGAGGGTGAACACAGGGTCCGGGCAGCCCTTGCGCCTTCCCCGCCCTCCGAAATGGATCAAACCCCGAAAATGCAAATGCAGTGAGCCACGGCAGAAACTGGTGTGTATTTTGGTTCTAGGCTGCCTCTCAGCCAGCCAGTGGGAAGACACAGGTGTCCAGCCTTTGGTGGGTGAGAGAAAAATACACAACTTGGGAAAACAAATAGTTCACTTTTTTAAAAAAAGAGGCACACCCACGCACACAGTATTGTTTGACATCTGGTCTAGTAAAGCCAAGTAAAGACTTAAGGAGACAGACTTGTGTGTGCCTGGCCCTTTTATGTCTATTCTGCCACTAATAGTGATGACCCTGGGGGGCTGGGCAGGCAGTGTTATCAGTCCAGTTTCACAGAGGAGGAAGCTGAGGCTCAGAAAGGGAAGCGCTTAGCCTGAGGTCACACAGATTGTAACAAGCTGAGCCTGAATTAGAACCCAGTTCTGTGGGATGCCAGAAACCCCCCAAATTCCTACCCTGACCAATACATAGATGGGGAAGCAATTTGTCTGAGGTCACCACTGCTCAGGAGAGTGACTGCCTTGGACTCCTGGCCCGTCTCCCAGTCTTGCCCCCAGTGCCTCGTGTGTACCCTGTTGGGGAACACACAGGGCCCCCACCTGGTACACAGTGCAAATGGGAAAGGGGCAGGGTGACCCTGCAGGGGCCAGAGCTTCCTGCCTGCACCACACACACGCACGCATGCCCTTGTCTCCCTTCCTCTGTCAATAAGCTACGAGGTGGGGGAATGAGCACTGGAGGAGGAGTCCTACACACTTAGCTTTGAGTCCTGGTTCCGCTGATCCCCAGCAATGCAGCCTTGGGTGGGGAGCAGGTAGGGGAAGGAGTTAGCTAACTCCTCTGTGCCTCAGTTTCCTCATTTGTGAAATGGGACGCTGACAGTAGTTGTGAGGATTAAATAAATGAACTGATGGAAAGCAGGCAGAACACAGCTTTGTTACTGTATCACTGTTACTTCTTCCCTTTAAGGTGGGTCTCAAACTTCCCTACATAGCAAAACCACCAGATTTTGTTAAAAGAGAGCTCCTTGGGTCCTTGGGTCCCACCTCTGAATGTTCTGGTCTGGAAGTTACATGATGGTGCCAAGGTGTCTGAATTTTTACCAAGTGCTGCCCCCACCCTGCTCCATGAAATACTGCTTGGGGCACTAAGTCAGGACTGAGGACTATGTACTGGGTGCCCACCCAGGACAGGCATGGGGAATGCCATGGTCACAGTGTGGGGGTCCAGAGTGCACACCCCAAAGGTGGACAGGTCCAGGTGCCATCTGGGCTTGGCCAGTAGCCCGCTGTGTGATCTTGAGCCAGTAACTTCTCTGAGCCTCACTCAAGTCCCCTGCAGAGGAAGGGCACAAACAGCATTGGCCTGGCCAGTTGTCATGAGGCTGGCACAGGGCGTGAGCTCAGGGACATTAGCTATGGCTATGTACCATTATTTCTCAGGAGAGACACAGGCCTGGCTATAAGCAGTGTCAGAGCAACAGACACAGGGAGGCAGACAAGTCACACAGAGGGGGACAGATGCCAGGCTGGGAGCCATGCAGGGGCGTGCCAGAGTGGCCCAGGGCCATGCCCAAAGGGCAGACAGAGGTACACCACCACAGAGTGGTATGAAGCATGTCGCTCTCCTCCAACAATCTCATGAGGGAAAAGGTGCCCTCTGACCAGGCCACAAACAAGAAATGCAGATGAAGGGGCTGCTGTTCACACTCACTGTTCACACTCACCAAGGTGCTGGGCAGTGTCAGCACTCACACCCAGGTCTCACTGGTCCTTTGACCCTTTCTGTGCCATGGACCCCCCTCAGCTATTTGGGGAAATCTACCGATCCTTCCAAGAAGAATATTTTTAAATGGAATAAAATACAGAAGATGAAAAGGACACCAATTATAGTAAAAAAGGAATACAATTATGAAGATTGCTGTGATACAGAAACCTACATGCTCTATTACTAAAACAATAAATAAGATCAAGGGGTGGGCCCTATAATAACTGTAATTTGCATGCAGTGATAAGAGAGATTTGCAGCAAGTGAAATGTGATATAAAGATGTATATGGTGTCTACTGATGACTGAAGTCCAGCTGCTGCTACTACACCTGCAATTTGTCACCTGCTGACACCTGGGAAATGTCCATTAGGTCAATAAAGATGTCCTCTTTCCCCTCTTCAAGTTCCCAGGCCCCTGGGGAGCCACGCAAACACTAGCGCTCCATAAGCCTGGCGACGAGTCCAGGCCCCAGTTCCGACCCAGCCCTCTCACTACCATCCCAGGGCGGCAGCAGTTGGCATCAGGAAAGTTTAATGGCATATTCTGGAGCATGCATTGGATGTTTTGACTTTATTTAAAAAATGTAAGTGGTAGACAGCAGAAGTATTATGAAGAAATGTGGTATTCTGCCCACGCGGGCACCACACGCCAGCATGTGGCCTTGGCTATTAATTCAAGTCTGAACTGAGTAGAGGACATCAGGGACTAGAGTAGGGGTGGCCCTGGTCCCAGTCACTGTCACACGGCTCCGAGGGGCAGTTGAACAAGGCTCTGCCCCTCGGTCACCAGCAGCGGACGAGGGCAGGCTCAGGCAGGTGGCCAGAGCTCCAGGTGCGTGGTCAGCCGGCCCCAGGGGCACACCTGTCTTTGCTCCAGACTTCCTGGGTGTCCTCTCCTCTTTCTGGGCCTCAGTTTCCTCATCTGTAAAATGGGTCCAACAATTCTTACCAGCAAGGCTGCTGTGAGGATTACGTGAGATGGAAGCTGACTTGGACAAGAGCAGAGGGCTGCAGCTGACACGTGGCAGCTCTTCCGTTAATACGGGTCCATCTGAGTCTGCCAGGTGGAAACCAGCAGTAGCAGGCCAGACGGTGGGGACGGGAGTTGGGCAGGGGCCAGATTGTGCCAGGTCTTCAAGGCCAAGTAAGGAGCTGGGTGTTTTCCTGGGGGTAGCAGGAAATGGTGAGTGCTGGTTGGATTGGGGTCTGGGAGGGGACACAGCCTCTCTGGTGAAGGACAGCTTGGAAGACAAGGGCTGGAGGCCACGTGAGAGCCGCCTGGGGATCCAGGAGCAAAAGCGCGGAGTTGGGAGGGGAGGAGAGAGAAGGTGGCAAAGGAGCCACATGCTACGACCGAAGAGAAGGTGACATGGAAGGGGACCCCTGCTCTATCCTCAGGCAGGTGAACGACTCACAGCCTTTCTGAGAGCGGACCTCGCTGACCCCATCTGTCAAATGGGTAGCCACAGCTAGCAGGAGGGAGAGAGAGTGGCCCAGGAGGGCCGGGCCACCCAAGAGGGCAAGAGGTTTGCCAGGCAGGGCGGGGACAAAGGTGCGCCAGGTCAGGCGCTGTCCTTGAGTGCAACGTTTAAGGGGGCGCCCAAAATTCAGTAGTCAGATCAACAGTGTTTTAATGCACTCTTTTTAAATGAATGCCAAAAACGAGGATGAAAGAAAAAATTAAAATTCTAAATAGGATAAATGATGCTGCTGTGCCAAACGGTAGTGGAGCCTGAGGCAGGAGGAAAAAAATCAGTAATACTGATCCTGTCTTTCAAATTTTGATATATTGTTTGCCAGGAATAGTTTTGCATTGATTTAGATTTTCTGGTAGTAGCTTTATGGAGATACAATTCACGGATCATACAACGTACCTGTGTAAAGTGGACACATACCCGCAGTATGCAACCAGCCCACAGCCAATTTTGGAATGTTTCCATCACCCCAAAGAGAAAGCCCGGCCTTCAGCTCTCACCCCTTGCCTCCTCCGCTCCCCGCACCCCAGCAACCACTCATCTACCTTCTGTCTCTATGGATTTGCCTGTTCTGAGCATTTCATTTACGGACAACCCCGATACATGGGCTTTAATGACTAGCTTCTTTCCCTTAGCATAATGTTGAGGCTCGTCCATTGGTTTTGAGTGTTTTAAAATCTGCATTAAAATGTTATGTTGTTTACCGAGCTTTCGGGCATCCCTCAAGGGCCAGTGCCTCACTAATCCTGATCTCCAACCCAGCAGCCTGGGGCCCCTCTGGCCAAACAGGGAATACTACAGACCATGCATGGTTCTGGTCCGCCTGTACCCGGGAGCCAGGGAGCCCAGGATCCCCAGAAACGTCCCCACCTGGACGGCAGCGGCTGTGGGGAGCCTCTTGGGGAAATCCATGCAGAGTGGTGCAAACAGGTTCTGCACAAAGCCCTGCTCCCTCTGGAATCACTCTGCCTTGACTTGCCCTGACTAATGCTTTGAAGTGAGCATTTATTGAGCTCCAGCTGTATATACCCATCACATCCCCACACACTGAGCTCAATTTGCAGCCACTTCATTCCATTTCCTCTGAATGTCACGGTGCACCCATGAAGGAAGGCAGCAAGGTCAGGGGACGGGAGTCAGAGGGCCACAGAGTCAGGTTCATCTCTGCTACTCCCTGGCTGTGCACCTCTGGGCAAGACGTTCAGCCTCTCTGAGCCATGGTTTCCTCATCTATTAAGTGGGGCGCACAGGGAGCCCTCCACAGGGAGCCTGTCGAGAAGAGACAGCGACAGTCCTTGGGGAACTGTCACTTCAGGATGTAAATGAATGAGCACTCCCTCCCAGCTGGCATGGAGCTACGGGTCTTGTGAGCACAGCCCCATGTGATGCTCCCGGCCACCCTGGGAAAGAGGTACAGGGAGGGCACATTTTACAGATGTGGAATCAAAGGCTTGAGGAAGTTAAAGACCTATCCGCTACTTTAGGGGCAAAGCCAGGATTTAAACTGAAGTCTGACTCCAAAACACCAGATCTTACAAACTAAACTGGCTTTATCTGTCTTGTAAGGTGCCAGGCAGCTCCGTTCACCATGGGCCCCTGTGGTTTTAAGGGAGCAGGACACACATGAACCACTCCCAGGGTTCCAAAAGCCCACCTCTGGGAACCCCCAACCTTCCCCCTGGCTGTCCTGAGAGGTGGTGAGCACACCCAGCCCTGTCTTTATCCCAACTGCATGACCTTACTAGGTAAAGGTTACCAAATCTGTGGCCTTTGGGGTAAGGGAGGGGCTGGCCAGCCTGGAATGCAGAGCAGAAAGGAACCTGCCTCAGCTCAGGGCAAAGGGGAAAGTGGGTTCCAATCTTAGCTGCACTCAGCCAAAGCACCCTGCAACCTGGACATGCTTCTCCCTCTTCGGGACTGTTTCCCCACCACTGACTTCCCGGGAAGGCTGAACTGTCTGTCTTCTTCCCCTGCCCCACACACAACTTCAACAGTGAGAACCTTCTTTGATTCAATGCCTGAGAGGCACTCCATGCAAGATTTCACCTACCAAAGGCACCCATTTCCTCGTCTGTACAATGAGGACAGTGACAGCACCCACCTCCTGAGGCCACTCAGAGGAAGTAAGATCATCTGTCTGAAGTGTCTGGAGGAGCCCGACTCAAGCTAAGCCCCTGGTACGCAGCCCGGGATGCACTGACCCTCCCCACTCTCCCCGACTTGAGCTATGAAGGTGACCTTGAATGAAGTTCTTAACCTCTCCAAACCTCAGCAAACCCACCTGAAGATGGACCCCACTTTGTACTGGTCCAGCATGGCCGCAGCAAGTAACCTGGCACCTGGTGCCCTGGAATTTCTTAAGGAACAGAAGCCACCAACTACAGTACCCCCCGAATCCAGAGGGAGACGTCCTGGCTGCCCACACTTGCACAGCATCGGGGAACCACCCAGCTGAGCCTATCTGGACTTCACTCCAGGCAGTTCTGGCAAATTCCCAAGGGCAGGTGCCTGTCCTGCCCAGAGGGACTGTTCCCAGCAGCAACACTCACCCTCTCTCTGGCCAGGGCTGCATATCAGACCGCTGCAGACCGCTGTGGCTTCTCCTAACTGGTCTTCCTTCCTTGGTCAGCACCCAGCATGCTCACCCGCCTCAAAGAGAACACAGCAGGTAATGTGCACAGCGGGGTAACTCAATGATAGTTAAGGGCATGGGTGGAGGACTCGGGAGGGGTAGGGGCCACACTGGGCTCTGCCAAGGATGGGCCATGAGACCTGGGGCCATCAGCTTCAATGGCCTCAGTTTCCTCATCTGTAAGATGGACTGAACTGCCTAAGAGGCTTGCTGTCATGACTGTTCAGGCAAATGCTGAGGTTAGGACCCAGCAGAAGGAGCTGTCTGTAGATGCCAGCTATTAACCTGTCACCCTTTCTAGTTAGCTATTCTAATTAAATAGTCCACGGTACAACCATAACAGACCCGGATACCACTATAAAAGAGGATTCGTTACACTGCAAGATGTCTGGGATAAGACGCTGGGTGACAAATAGGTTATCTGATCCCATCCTGATCAATATTTATGTTGGAAAAACACTCCAGAAACATACACCCTAAAATGTCAACTGGAGCTTCATTTGTTTTCTCTCTGAATTTTCTAACTGTTGTACAGTAGAGATATATATGGTTTGATGTAAAGGAAAAGAACAGAAAAATGAAACTCGGGTGAGTTTTAGGTTTACTGCATAATTTTGGGACCTGCAGCCCCAGAATACAGGGCTGGCTTTGGAGAAGTCTGGGCAATCCCAGGGGGAGAGTCTGGCAAGGCAAGGGGGCAGCCAGGCCTGGGACCGGCTTTCCGGACACCCAGATCTGGGTTCTGCTGTGCTGGCATCATGCTGCTCTACTCTCCTAACGGGACTGGGTAGGCTGGCCCCCTGGTTAAAACTCTGGCTTTGTAGTTAGGTTGCAGATCCCAGCAGGGCCATGATCTGAGTGACCTTGGGCAAGACACTTAACTTCTGTGGCCATCAGTTTTCTTGTTTGTAAAATGAGAATCAGCCTTGCAACAGTGCCGTGTGGCTTTTGCAAGGATTAAATAAGATAATGCATGTCCAGCCCTCAGTACCATGCTGGACAGATGGTAGGGGCCCTAGGTCCTATTATTATCATTATTGCCATTATTAGTACTTGAAATCTAGCTGTGTCATGCAGAATCCTTTGTAGGACATGGAATGCTAATGCAGCAGGCACTATGCAGAAAGGAAATTTAGGCATGGGCACCAGGGAGCCATGGCAGGTGTTTGAGCAGGAGAGGAGCAATATGACTCAGACACTACACAAGGCTGGCAGCCAGTGTCCACCTACTGGGACTATCTCTGCCAAGGTCCTTTATTACAGGTTCCAGACCCCCTGAAATCCTCCTAACACTGCTCAACAAAAACAGCAGAACTCCTACAGGCTATACCTCAGCCACCTCCAGCCCTACCCACTTCCTGGGTGCCAGCTGGCCTGGTGAACACCAAGTGATCAATAAACTGGGGCACCTGAAGCAGCCCACGTGGCCTCAGTGAGATGCACTGTGTGAAGACCAGGTGGCCCAAATGCCTGGTGGGGGCCACAGCACAGCAGAGAAGAAACAGCCCCTACTTCAGAGCCATGAAGACTGGTTTCCAGTCAAGCCTAGCTCCTACTTCGCTGGGTGACCTTGGGCAAGTCCCTGCCCTTCTGTGACCTCCAGTGTCCATATGCAAAGAGGGTGTTAACTGCTTCTGTTGGCTTAGGGACTGCTGGAGGATGCAGCCCAATACAACAATGGTTTCCTTGTGTTCCCGCTACTGGCCAGGCACTGGGCTGAGCACTTCAGGCGTAAACTGTGAGGATTCCTTAAATCCTCACCACTCTAGAAGCAGTTCCTTGTATCATCCCTATTTTTTAAATCTACTTGATTACTCAAGTCACAGATCCAATCTCAGTATTAAACAAAAACAGAGAAGGCTGAAGTCCCTTTGGAGCAAAACCTCCAATCCTGTCCTCGTCCCTCTTTTCTAAGAGGTAATGTAACCACTGTTGGTCAGTTTGGGGAGAAGCCACCCACACCTACTTTCCATGAGGTGACAGCCATTAAATACTTACCCCAGTGGAAAGCACAGGACCTCTCCCCCGCCCTCCCAAACCCTCACCCTTCCATCTCCCCATTCACCCTTCCTTCCATCCACATGCCATCATATTGTACCGGGGACCAATTTTGCCCATTAGGGGACAATTGGCAATGTCTGCAGACAGTTTTGGTTATCACCAAATGATGCACCCAGTGGGGAGAGGCCGGGGATGCTGCCAAACATCTTACTGTGCCTGGGTGGGCCCACCACACTGAGCTGCCCCAAAGGTCAGCAATGCCCAGGCTGAGAGGCCCTGGATCACACGTATCCTCTGACAGTTCCTTGGTTCACTCCACACTAGACAGTGATATTTCCATGTCAACATATTTTTTCATCTTTTGGTACATTGCATGAGCACCTACTGTGTGCTAGCCCCTATTCTAATGGGCCATGTGAGTGACACACAGAAAAGTCCCAGTACCCAGAGGGTGCTCAGTCTGCACGAAGACAAGACATATCTTTATGCAAGACTCTGATGGACTGCCCTCCCTCTTTTAATTGCTTCAGAGCATCCCTGGCAGGGAGGGCCCACTGTTCATTTGGCTAAGGCCTTCCTGATAGACATTTTGGCTATTTTCACCTTTGATGTGATGCACTCCATCACAAAGGATCATGTCTTCTTGTGCCCACGTGTGAGAGGCCCCCTAGGACCTGCTAATTCCATCAGCAGGGTCCTTGGAAGCCTGCTGGCCCATCCCAAGGTACTGAATCAGTCTGCATTTTAAGGTGACCCCTGGGATTCCCGTGCACATTAAGTTTGAGAAGCACAGTTCTAGACAGATACTGTCTAGGGATAGCTGGCTTAGGGGCCACATAGCCTTTACGTGTTCGCAGAAATGGCCGATGTGCCTCCAGAAGACCCTGAGGCCAGCAATCTGTAAGTTCCCCTTGGGCACTGACTTTGTACTGTCAGATGTGGCTGTTTTTGCAGAGCTGATGATTTCTCCGATTCTCCAGATGTGAAGACTGAGGCTGAAAAAGGTGTCTAGACAGCCAGCTCTGGGCGTTGATGATCTTTAAGGCCTCTCTCAACTCTGGCTTTTAGGATCTGGCCATGTCCTGGGCATGTGCCATGCCAGCTTCCTGCCCTACCACCCTGGCTGTCTGAAAGCAGCCTGAAGCAGGAAGGTAGAATGGTTCCAGCTCACCTGGCAGAGGACAGCGAGGTCCTGAGGGAAGAAGTGGGCTCTCTGGGCTGGGCATCTGTGGTCCCCCCAGGGAGGCTACCCTGTGCCCATTCATGTTCAGCCATCCAGGACAGAGGACCAGGCTTTGGCATAGGACAGGCCTGCCCTTGTCACACATGACAGGCAATGCAAGGGCTCTTGGGTGCGGACAGGGGCCTTGCAGCAGAAGGAAAGGACCCCTGAGCCATGCTACTGGCTGGGGCCCCAGCTTTGCTCTCACCAGCTGTACATCTTGACCTCAGTTTTCTCCCCTGAAAAATGGGCTCATATCACTCACTGCAGAGAGCTGCCAGGAGGACTTATGTGCAGATCCGTCAACAAACAGGAGCCACTATCTGGAGCCCTGCCTTGTTTCTGCTGCGCACACCTCCAGTGTGGCTTTCCCCAACTCACTACACCCTCTCAGCAACCTGCATGGTCAGCACTGTTGTCCTCTCCACTTGACAGATGAAGGAACTTGAGGGTCAGAGTGGTACAGTGCCCTGCCCTTGACTGCACGCTAAGGTAAGGCCATGGGACCTGCACCCTTGGATCTACAAGGTAAGCATGCCTCCTCTGAATGCTGCTTCTGTCGAGCTGTGTGACCCTGAGCAAGCTGCTTCACCTCCTTGAGCCTCAGCTTCCAAAGCAGGGAAAAGGGGACCTAGCACAGAAATGAGATGGGAAGCCACCCTGCAACTGGAGAGTACTGTCCGCTCCCCTCCTCTGGGGCACCATACTGTCACCCCCAGAAGACCCAGACCAGGAATACCTGTCACCAGGGGGCATCTCAGATCTCTCCTGCAGTCCAGCTCTGACATGGGTGAGGTCATGTAAAGCGAGCAGCCCCCCAGAGAGGGGAAGCTACTTGCTCACGGCCACACAGCTGATGAGCAGTAGAGAACAGACTAGGCAGCAAGAGGTAGGGTACCAAACCTGAGTGGGTGCAGGCAACAGCCTGGAGTGGTGACCTCCAGGAGAAGGCTGGCTTGTAGTGACCAAGGTCCCAGCTGGCCTTTAGCTGTGAGGACTCTTTGAAGGACTGCTTAGTCCTCGTATGTGCCTGCCTCTCCCCAGAGGCTCCTCCTCCCTCTGGCCCAGCCTGGTTGCCTGCCCGTGCGTGGATTGATTGGCAGGGAGCACTACCTGTCTGGGGTTTAGGCCTTCTAGGCTATGCCATCTATGGCCAGACCAGCCCTGTCCTCTGGAATCTTCTCTTACCACTGTGGCTGGAAGCTGCAGCTATCAGAGAAACCTGACTAGGTTGCCCGTTTCTCAGCCTGACCTTTCAGCTGCTCTCCATGGTTTATAATGACATCTCACTGAAGTCCAATGTGATCATCTGGAACTCAATTTTCCAGCAGCCACATTAAAAAAGTAAAAAGAAAAAGGTCAAATGAAATGTAAAACTAGATTTTATTTAACTCAGTATATCCAGAACACAATCATTAAATCAATATAAAAATTCAAATGAAATCAACATAAAAATGAATACAAACATGTAAAAAGCAATATAAAAATTAACATTAAATATAAAAACAAAAATATTAATATAAAATATTTACAAATATTTTATTAAATTGTAATTTATTAAATACATTAAAATATTTGTAAATATATGAAAGATAAATTGAAAATATAAAAAAATATAAAAATGAGATGTTATTTTCCTCTTTCCCTTAGTATTGCATCCTTGAAACCTGCATGTATCTTCTACCTTCAGCACATCTCAATTTGGATAATAAACTTGCAGGGGGAATACCTGGTCTGTATTTAGAGTTCATGAAAATTACAGTTGAAAAAGTACATTCACATCCCCAAATAGTTCCATGCACATTTAGAAGTTTTCCAGGAACAGAACGAAGTATCTGTTTTGAAATCTAAATTTAATTATATTAAACAATTATACATAAAGTATGTATTAAAAAATTCAGTTCCTTGGCCTCACTAGCCATAGTCCACGTGTGGCTGCGGCCCCTGGCATGGACAGGCAGGTGGATGAAATCCTTACTTGTCCGGTCCCACAGCCTCTCACACCTCATTTGCGGGCTTGTCCCAGATGCCAGTGAGACCTGCACACACACCCTGAGCTCCCACCTCCGTGAGTCACCGGGGCCTTCAGCATCCCCTGCTTCCTGCCAATTCCCACTCATTCCTTCAAGATTCCTTCCTCTGTGAAGGCTTCTCTGGCATTTTCTGGATGGGATATTGTTCCTATAGCATTTTGCTTGTTCTCCTTACTGTAATGTCACACAGGATTGCAATCATCCATCTCAAGGTTTCCCAGCCTCAGAGCACCTGACATTTGAGCCAGATAATTCTTAGCATGTTCAGCAGCAGCTCTGGGCTCTACCCACTAGATGCCAGGAGCACCTCTCCTCAATCATGACGACCAAAAATATTTCCAGGCACTGCCAAATGTTCCCTGACTGGGAATCAGTGCTTGGCACACAGAAGGCACCCAAACATGTACTTGAACAGAAGAGGATTACCCAAGTATATGTTATCATGAGGCTCACCTCCTTCAGGAAGCCTTCTGTGATTCCTTAGCCCAGCGCACAGCCCCCAGCACTCACCCCGGGTGCAACACCCTCCTCTGCCTCTTGTACACTGCTGTTCTTTCGATGCATAGCCCAGAGATAGGGATATAGCAGGCATTTAATAAATATTTATAGAACTGACCTGAGAAGCAGGGATGACTTAGGCTAAAAAGCCCCACAGGGTAAATTTTGTCCATTTAAGATCAGGGTTCTTTGATCCTGGAAAAGACACAAATAACAGTCACAGCTGTATTTGTATGGCAAGGACTGGGCTAAATATTTTGCAGGGTTTAGAGACAGGTCTTGAAGGGCTTGCCCTGTGCTCAAATCAATGATTTTGAAGTTCAAAAGTGCTGATTCCTCCTCTTACTGATCAAAAGAAGTTACACATAAAGAAGATACTTGCAATACATATAACAAACAAGATATTTATATCTAGAATATATCAAGAGCTCTGTGAAATCAATAAGATTAGAACAGGTAACCCCATAGAAAAATGGATCTGACGAGATACTTCATACAAGAAGTTATCTAAATAGTTGGTAAGCAAAGAGTGCTTAATCTCATTATCCATCAGGAAAATAAATGCAAATTAAAAGTACAATATGGGACAACTGTATATCTGGGTGGCTTAAAAAAAAAAAAAAAACCATAATACCAAGTGTTCGCAAGGATGTGATGCAACCAGAACTTTCATGCTCTATGGCTGGGTGGGAAGGGGCATGGGAGGTAGCCTATCAAATCCTTTTGGGAAACTCTTTGGCGTAACAGAGACAAAAGCTACACTTGCGCCTTCTCGATGACCCAGCAATTCCAACGCGAAGTGCACATCCATCAGAAATGCACCTCACTATTCACCAAAGGCCACATATCAAAAAATTCCCAGCAGTGCTACTTGTAATAGCTCCCAACTGGAAAAGACCCAAATGCCCATTAACAAGAGGATAGCTAAATATAAATAAACAAACAAACAAACAAATAAATAAATACTGAAGGGCCAGAAGAATGAGTCAGAACTTTGTACAACAATATGGATGAACTCAGATACTATGCTGAGCCAAAAATGGCCAACAGAAAAGGGAACATACGTATGTTTTTATGTACATACTTTATACATACATAAAGTACAAAGACAGACAAAGTTAGTCTCTAGCAGGAGACGATGGTTATCTTGGGGGGAGTTATGACTGGAGGAGGTACACAGCATGTTGGGGGGGTAGGCATGTATTTTTCTTAATCTGGGTGCTGTCACGGGCGCAGCCAACTTTTGGAAATTCATCGAGCTGTCCACTTATGTACCTTTCTGCACATATGACAGATTTCAATAAAAATAGTCTTAGAGAACCACACTTTGTTAAATGCTGAAGAGTGGTGTTGCTGGCTGGGCAAACTGTCCCTCGCACACCTTTCCCGTCTGCTCCTGAGGAACACACAGAACTCCATTCATTCACTTAGCCAGTGCTGGCTGGCAGGTGCTCTCCCAGAGCCAGGCTTGGTGCCAGACGCCAGGAACATAAAAATCAATTGAGTTGAGCCTCTGATAGTGTCATCCACTGCCCAGTTCCTGGCACACAGACCCAAACCCACACTCAGTAAGTGAGCCGCCAGTCTGGGGCACCTTTTGATGAGAGGCCAAGGAGATGATGTTGGCTTGTCGTCTTCTCCCTCTGCTGCCCTTTGACATGAGATAATTTTCAGGCTTTTCCCTTGCACTGGGCTGGACCCAGCCACTCTGGCCTGGGCAGGAGTGCCAGTCTGTGCTACTGGCCCCACCACCATCTCCCTTCCCTACACTCCGGGCTTTCCTCCTCTCCTGCAGGCTAATGACTCCCACAGTCTTTCCTCCACTCAAATATCTCTCCTTAATTAGCCAGACTCAGGCATCTACTGTCTTCTCATCACCTCCACTGGGACATGGTGCTGGTACTTCAAATTTAATGAATTCAAAAGCTATCTCCTGGCTGTTCCCCCAAAACACATTCCACCCACAGTTGGCGGCAAGTCACTGCACTCAGGCCAAAGGACTTGAAAGCAGTCAAAGCCAACACTCCCCTCTCTCTCCCCCTCCCCACGCTAGCCCAGCAATGCTTGTCAACTTCACCTTCAAGACAGAGCTATGCAATGATTTCTCGGGTATGGCACCAAAGGCACAGGTAACAAAAGAAAAAATAGACAATAAACAAACTGGACTTAATGAAAATTAAAACATTTTATCCATCAAAAGACACTTATCCCCAGAGTTAAAAAAGCAACCCGTGGAATGGGAGAAAATATTTCCAAGTCACACATATAAGGCATTAATAACCAGAAGATACACAGAACTCCTAAAACTCAGCAACAGAAGGACTGAACAGTTAAAACACGCCAGTTAAAACACGCGCCAAGGACTTTAGAATAGACATTTCTCCAAAACATATATACAAATAGTCAGCAAGCGCACGGAAAGGGGCCCAACGTCACCCATCATCCAGACAATGCAAATCAAAATCACAATGAGATTTCACATCACACCTATCAGGATGGTGACTATCAAAAAAAAAACGGAAAGCAAGTGTTAGTGAGGACGTGGAGGGATGGGAACCCTGGAGCACTGCTGGCGGGAACATGAAATGGTGCAGCCATGGAAAAGAGAATGGAGGTTCCTCAAAGAATTAAAAACAGAACTACCATACGACCCAGCAATTCCACCTCTGGGTATTTACCCAAAAGAACTAAAAACAGTGTCTGAAAGAGATATCTGTACACTCACGTTCACAGTAGCTCCATTCACAATCGTTAAATGTGGGAGCAACCCAAGCGACCATCAGTCGATGAATGGATAAGCAAAAGGTGGTCTGTCCACACAGGGAATGTCACTCTGGCTTAAAAGGGAAGGGAATTCTGCAACACGCTGCAGCAGAGATGAAACCTGAGGACATTATAAGTAAAATGAGTCAGCCACAAAAAGAAATACAGTATGACTCCACTTATATAAGGTAGTCACAGTAGCCAAAATCCTGAAAGACAGAAATTGTAATGGGGTCGCCAGGGGCTGGAGACGGTTGTTGCAGGATAGGCAGAGTTTCAGTTTTACAAGATGAGAGTTAGGGGGATGGACGGTGGTGACGTTTGCACAATGTGAATGTAGTTAATACTACTGAACTGTACTTAAAGATGGCTAAGCTGGTAAATTTTATGTTATGTATATTTTAACATGCTATACAAGCAAACGAAATGAAACAAAACAGCAGAGCCAGAAACCCACTTGCTGTATGTCCTCGACGCTTTGGGGACATGTATGTGTTCCGTGTACCCACTTCTCACTGCCCTGGTCCAAGGCACCCTTGTGTCTAACTGCCTCCTGTTCTGCCCTTGTCGCCACAGTCCACTTCCAAGGAGCGGCCAGTGATCACATGAAGACGGAAATCAGGTCATGGTCCTCCTCTGCTCTCAATCCTCCGGCGGCTCCTGCCTCACTCAGGGAAAGCCAGTGCCCATACAGCCCACAGGCCCCACAGGCTCAACCCTGCCGACTCCCTTTCCGTTCCCATCGGCCACCTGCCCCCACCTTGCTCTCCAGCCAAACGGCCCCCTTGTTCCACACACACACACACGCCAGCTTCCTCCTCAGGGCCTCTGCCTCAGCTGTCCCCACTGCCTGGAACGCTGTCCCCAGTCAGCCACCTGGCTTTCCCGCCCTTGCTCACATCTCTCCCATCACCCATTTCTTACTGCAACATGCACCCCCCAACCCGGCGCTCGGAACCCCCCTACCCTGCATGGTGTTTTCTTCCCCAGCGCTTCCCACTGGCTGACACATCATGTAATTGACTTACCGCATCCGCCTTCACTGCCTGGGGTCTCTGAATTCTTTGTTCACTGGAGTGGAGTGCGGCGCATAGCAGGCATTCAATAAATATTTATTGAATGGAATTTTCGGTCTGGGTCCCCTCCCTGAGGCCACAGGATCCTGGTGCGCCCCTCTCAGCATGGCAACAGAACCACCTAATACCCCAGGACCACCTGAACGCACCGTGTTCTCTCTAAGCCTCTGTGTTGGAACAAGGCTCCCATCCCTTCAGGAGCCCCTGATCCAGCTCACCACCAAATCCTGTCCATGACACCAGGCCGCCACTGGCTCCCACCTGGTCCCCACGCTTCTGCCCCTGCCTCACCCTGCAGAGTGGGCATGTCCCTCTGCCCTTCCTACACTGCTGTGGCTCTCCACCATCTTCAGGAGGCAATTCCGCACATGGTTTACCGGGGCCTCATGATCAGACAGACCCCTTGCAATCAGGCCAGATGGAACTTCTATCAGCCCAGAGGGTGCCATGCACCCTGCATTTTCCTATTCTCATTCTTAGTCTACCTCAGACTCCAGGAGTGGGCACATGACCCAGGGCTGGACAATCACAGTGTTCCCTTCCCAGGCCTCAGGGTTGGTTCAGGGATGACACATGACTCAATCTAATAACAGTTAGCTATAGACTTCTGCAGGATCCTCTGGGGGAGGCTAAGTAAACGGGGCAGGGCTGGGGACGTGGGGACTTCTCTAGACATGACCTACAGAGCGTGCCTGAGATTGATGCCAGCCCAAGAAGATGGAGCCAAGAGATGGAGACATGATTCCCTGATAGGAGCTGGGCTCCTGGATCCAGCTATGCCTAAAGCCATCCCTACCCCTTGACTTTTTAATTAAGTGAACCAACACATTCACTTTTTGCTTACTTTCGTGGGTTACTATCTCTGTTAACCAAGAGTCTTAAATAATAGGTATCTACATACCCTCTCCTCAACCTTACCTTGGCTTGTTTGTTACTACCTCAGCTCAAGCATCACCTTTTCCAGAAAATCTTCCCTGAGTACCCTGGCTAGATTAAGCACCCAGCTATGTCTCACGGTCCACTATGCCTACCCCTCACCATTCCCTGTGGTAACTGTTTGCCCCTCCATCTCCCACACTTGACTACGAGGGGAGTTCATGAGCTGCAGGGCCCTGTCCTAAAAAAACAAAATTTTTAAAAATATTCCCATCCTTAACAAAGAGCCTGGTACACCCACAGGCATTCCTATTTTACTTTCTGAGCTCACTTTGCTAACCAGCAAGTTTCTGTAGGTATCAGAGAGTGCTGAAAGAATGGGTTTTGCAGGAAGATGGATCTGAGCTTGAATTCCCCACTTATTAGCTTTGGGGCCTTAGGCAAGTCACTTAACCTTTCTGAGCCTCATTTTCTTATGTGTGAAAGGGGGAGAGCAGCTAAATACACATAAAAGCCTTAATGCCATACTGAAGCAGAGCAAATGCTCAGTGGTGCTACCTGACTCATTCTCTCCTCCGGGGCAGAAGTCCTGCCTTTCTCTCTCATTTCTGCCCCATCACTGTCATGGGTATTTGCTAAGAATGCATTTTCTAATCTTCTGGGATCAGTCCCTGTGACCAAGATGGGCTGATCCCATGCCCCCAGGCAGTTTGGCCAGTAAGAGGGTACAGATGCTTGTGAATGAGCATGAGGCTCCAGGTGAGTGAACAGGAATAAATCCAGGACTTGCAAGATTTACTAGAGAAGGGGCTCTCTTACAGCTGAGGTTGCTACATTAGTAGGATGTATGCCTGGAGATGTTTTTGGGGAGAGAGCATGCCTGAGAATGAAGCCACCCCAGAAGACAGTCCAGCTAAGACAGAGTAAAAGGGATAGGGTCCTGATATACTGGAGCACCTAGATACAGCTCTACCTGAAGGCAATATGCCTTTGGACTTTCCATTTACTTAAGTCAATAAATTCCTTTATTTTCTACTTTAAAGTTAATTTAAATTAAGATTTTACCACTCACAGCCAAGTGAGACTCGTAACAGGCTCTTTTTGAACTCTGCATGCTTAGCACTCAAGTGGTCTTGCTTTTTAAAAAATGGTTTGACCCAACTAAGCAAAACTGATTTCCAAAGTCTTATTTGAAGACTCAGTGATGGTTAAAGCCAGCTAACCACTCTCACTTCTGCCCAAAGGGTGTGGATTTGAGTTTCTCACATGGGAAGCCAGCTCTAGAATATCCTTACAAAAAGTCAAAAGGCCGTTCCAATGCTTTTTTTCCTTAGAAAGTCTTTGGCTAACTCCCCACCTGCCTGCCCCCAGTTATAGTTTATGGCTTACTTGATTGTATTATCTTCCCTTTCTTTGTGGAGGTTTTGCAATGGCTGATAGCCAAACATAGGAAAGGCTTAACCAAGAACAAAGCAAGTAATAAATACCTGCTGGATGTAATGTTCCCAGATTCAGATGGTCTAGCCCTTTATTTGTGGTGCAGCTGAGAGGCATGAGGCTTTCACGGCAGTGATATTTGGGGCATATGAGTAAAGGATGGGGTGGCACTGGGTGGGGAATTTAAAAAAAAAAAAAAAAAGACAAGATAAAAAGAAAAAACAAACAAGGAAATAAAATACCAAAAAAATAAAACAACCCTCTGCCTCCCACTTGGCCAAATGCAGAGCACATCCAGGAGACCCTCCTCCTTCTTGCTTGCTCTTGAAGCAGGCAGAAGAGGAAGGATTCCAAAGGCTTCAAGAGCTGCTCAAAACAAGAACACTTAACAAATCAAAGGGAGAAACTCAAGAGGAAGAAGGGACATTTCCTCCTGGCTCACTGTCTCGTGGGTACCAGATCTGGAGTGAGGGAAAAAGTGAGTCCTTTTCCTAATGAAAAATGATTTGGGGCTCTGAGGGGACCTGGGACCTTATTAGAAAGCATTTCTATCTGCAGACTTCCCTGGACATCACCAAGAACAGAGCCAGGGAGCGCAGTGCTGGCAACAGAGTCCCTGAACATCTCTGAGCGTCAGTTTCCCCATCTGTAAAATGGGGGTGAACAATATAATCCTTGCTGCTATGAATTTATGAGCACTTTTATGCACCAGGAGCCACGTACCCTTACCTATAATCTTCCCAGCACCTGAGATGGTCACTATTATGATCTCCATTTACAAGTGAGGAAACAGGCCCGGAGAGGGTAAGAGGCCAGCTCTAAGGTCTCACACCTTGTGCACAAGCCAGCCGCCATTCCACCTCTAGTATGTCTGACTCCTCTTTCCACCACATCAGGGCTCTTCTCAAGCCCGCTACCTGGGTCACTGTGAAGTTTCAATGACATCCCACACAGAAAGATAAAGAGGCACCTGTTTACTCAGAAACCGGCAAATCACAAGTATTTAAGTATTTGAGAAATGACTGGCTGTCATCAGCAGATGCCAGTCCCTAGAGTCCTCATTACCCACTTCATCTCAGCTCTGTCTCCAGTCCTAAGTGGAGAAGGTCCCAAAAGAGCTGGAAAAAGGTAACAGTAATCACCTCCTTTCAGTGAAGCAGCACACACCTGGGCGTCCTGGTGCTCCCGAATACAGGCTCCCAATCCTGATCTGTCATCACTTCCTGCCACCACCCCAGCCCCACCCACCAGGAACTTGCCACTCACTGGCTGGCTGGCCCCAGCAGCAAGGACCCAGGAGGAGTCAGCCTTTCCCACCCACTCTTGTGGGGCTTCATGCCACGGTTTTTCTGGACTGTTGGATGAGAAGATGTGCCTTGAACCTCCATCCTGTACACCCCAGGACCACTAAGGGACCCCAGCAGTATGATCTCTGAGGTTCAAGGCAAAACCGGAGCCCTCCCCACCTGGCTGGACCCTACCAGTCTCACCTCCATCCCTCGCCTGTGGGAGCCCTCAGCCTCCCAGACGGATGGATAAGAACCTAGGTTCGAATCCCACTCCTCCAGACGAGTGGCCTAATTCCCCCATGTCTCACTTCCGTCCTCTGTAAAATGGTGATAAAAGCGCTTCCCCGCAGGGTGAGATGTACCCAGGAAGCCCTCAGCAGAGCACCCAGAGCACCCTAGGGCATCAGTAAATGCTGCCTGTG